TTGGTTTTCATAAGCTCTCAGCCGTGGTGTTGACTGCGACTGAAGAGATGGCACTTCTCCATTGCAATTACGATGCTCAGCCTTACGGCTACCCCCGTTGCGGTTTTAAGGGCTCTCAGCCGCGATCTAAATAGTGACAGATCAGAATAAAGGAAGTTATATTGCAGAAATTTTATTACCATGACACCCCGTCACTGTTCGCTCTTTTCTCGGTTTTACGGTTCTGCTTTGTGGTCGTGGCAGCGCCGTCTTTTGGGCATAAGATGTGCCTTTTAGTGAGACAAGTGGTTTGTTTGTGATTGCGCACGGCACATACTTTATGTCTATGGCTTCCTCACGGCACGTTTTCCCTTCAATCCCTATGTATGTTGCAACTGAATCATGGTTTCTTGACTACTTACCACAAGTGCTTCCAGTAATGCTTAACGGTCCAATTGGTTAAAGCAGTAACTGCTGCCAGCTTTTACTCACAGATGTCTTAGTAATGGCAAATGACTGATGCTACAACGGCTTTCCTTTACTTCCTTCAATACCTTCAAATACTTGGGCCTGCATGATGTCGGCTTAAAATTTGTGTGCATAGCATTTCAACATTTTGTAGAAACTTAGTTCCTGTTGACTTACAAAGCACATCTTTCAAAGCAACAGCCGTCCCAAACTCTTACTGTTACATCCCCGGGCAACGCCGGGCACTACTGCTACACACACACACACACACACACACACACACACACACACACACACAGAGTTGGTCGTTTTAGCAATTTATGTTTTGGTATCGGTTTCTGGTTTTTTCCCTTTGATACCGTGGTTTTTGATTCGATATTTTTGCTTTCTAAGGAAGCCATTTAATTTCTTGTGTAGCATTTCCAGTCGATATCTGATTTCATTTGAGATTGATAAATTTGAAACGTAGTCCGTTCAACTTGCAAATTCTCGTGTATTTATGGTCCAATCTTAGTTAAAAATATTCATATGGCTGGAGAGAAAATAAAATAATATTTCTAAATATGTAATTTGTATTTATTCATTGAGTTACTTTTTTACGGCGAGTTAAAACAGTATTTTGTTTTGAACAGCCGAAAATGCAAAATATGACTTTTTTTTTCAAGACTTAATTTTACACGTTACTTTGTTTCACAAAATCAAAGTGACCAATCTTTATCAATATTCTTGAAATTGTACAATCAATTAGAAGACACCTTAAACTACAACCAGGAAGATGTTCATTTCTTCTCTGATCAGAGGAGGCAAATTCCTTCAAAAATTATAAAGTAAGCAGCAAAAAAAAAAAAATGGGAATTCTTTTCTGGTACATCAGCCAACTGTTATTGGGGTTTTGCAAATAAATTTCTTCTAAACAAGGAAAATTAATGAGTTAATTTTCCCCTAAATTTTTCATTTTTTAGAACGTGTATATTTCCAAATATAACCTGTTCTTTTTTAAATACACATTTTAAAACTGAAATTAAAAACTATTTTAATCATTTTAATATATAATTTTAAGTGTATTCACTAAATAAAATAAAACCATAAATATATTTGTAAAAATAAAATGAATTAATTTTCCTTGTTTAGAAGAATGTTATAGACTAACACTCACCAAACACTAGTGGCTAAAAAAGAATAATTTTTACTTTGGGTTTTAAAAAAATTACTTGCAGTTTTAAAAATATGCACATTTTAAAACTGAGGTTAAAACTTTATTTTTTTAATATTGAGTTATTTTTTTACAATTTTTATTTTGAGTTATTTTTCCTGAAAACAGGAAATTAAGTTTAATTTTAGGTGTATTTGCTAAATAGAAACATAATTTTATTTGTAGAAAACAAACAATACACTAGGGTAGAGACTCGCATATCTGGAAATATACACATTATTTTAAAAGTGAAATTAAGAAATTTTATATTCACATTATTTTAATAAAAAAAGTTAAGTTAATTAAGAAAAAAAAAAAAAATCTATTTTTCTTGTTTTAATTTATTCTAACATTGGCTTTAATTATCTAAAAATATCTGACTTCATAAAATTTAACTTAAGATGAAAAAACAACTATTTTTATTTTTTTATTTTTATTTTAAAAAAAAAAATTTTGTTAGTTTTACCGCAAAAAGTGTTTTTTTTTTCTTCTTCATTTCTTTTGTAAACAAATAGATTTCATATTTATTTCTAAAACTAGTCAATTAAATGTTTTTACCATATTTTTGTTCAATCTTTTTCTTTTACAATGGTATAAAGTGGTTAATTTTATTAACATCTGAAAGTTTTTTTTCAATAGTGTTTCTTTGGATATGGTCACTCAGTAGTGATAGCAGTTTTAGCACTTAAAAAACAAATAATTTCAGTTTCGTAAAAAATTCTGATACGGTTTCATGATGTGAAGATGAAACTGAAAAAAATTGATTTTTCAGTTAAACCATGCATCTCTAATAGACACTATATATGTGTGTGTGTGTGTGTGTTACTTTTGCAAGATTTTGAAAACAGGAAATTAAGTTTTGTTTACAAATGTCTAAAAAATGGCTGATGTTACTGAAAAAAAAAAAATGCAATTCTATTCCAATCAATATAATTTCTGTCTGAAATACACAAAAGTATTTTGCTTACTGGGTATATTAAATTTAATCCTTTAGATTTTGTTTAAATCTATAATGAAAGCTTCAGTAAAACTTTTTTATTTTTAAAAATTCATTTTAAACCTTATGCATGCCCAACGCGTGGTGCTACATACCTATCTTCTATCTATATAGAGAAAGAGAGATAGTTTTATGGTATGCTATATTTATCAGATAAAGTACTCAATATCAGAGATAGTGTATGTAAATATATAAGTGGAAATTGCAGTCAACACTCAGAGGCGACAGACTGTTTCATGCTAAACTCGATCATCAGGTCACACGAGTTGTTTTTTCTCAACTTTATATATACAGGTTAGTGGTGCATTGTGGGTAGTCTATTTTAATGGTTTATTAATTTGTTTATTATTTACTTCATTTGAATCAGTTTATTTTACCTGTCATTTCTTATTTATTTTTGTATATTTTCATTTATTCTTTTTGATTTTCGATTTTTAAGTAACGTAGAAAAAATTTTGAGATGAATTCTGATCGTTTAGTTAGAAGTTTGTTTTGGTCTGGGAAGGTAATTATAGCTATTTTTTTGTCCAATCAGAGTTTGCAGTTTTTGGATTGATTGTTGTAGTCTATTGGTTATTTTGGTTGGAGTGTTTTGTTAATTTGTTTATTATTTACTTTATTTATTTATTTGGATTAATTTATTTTACTTGTTCTTTCTTTTTTATTTTATTTATTTTTATTTATTCTTTTCAGTTTTTAATTTTTAAGTAAAATAGTAAAAATTTGTTTTTGTGTTTGCATTTTGAGATGAGTCCTGATTGTATATTTAGTAGTTAGTTTTGATCTGGGAAGATAATTTTCCTTCCAAGCAGAGTTTGCAGTTTTTGGATTGATTGTTGTAGACTGATGTTTTTTCTTTATTTTCCATGATATTTTTGGTGTGATTTGCATTTTGTTTTTAATTTCCCAGATATACTTGGAAGAAAGTATTGTGCTGTTCGCATATTTACTATTTGTGAAAAATGTTTTGTGTGCATAGTTTCTTTGTTTCCAGAGTCCCTCAGTTACTCCTGTGTATATTTTTTCTTCGTTATCTGATGATTTTACTGTAACTTAGTATATTACATTGTCAAGAAAAAACATGTGGCCTGATGATTGCATTTAGCATAAAACTGTCTGTCACCTCTGAGGGTTGACTTCAGTGTCCACTTGTGTGTGGCTAGTAAATTGGGATGCAATATCAATTGCTATCTACTGTACACCTGATTAGTAGTCTCTTTCTGCTCAGCATTAATGTTTCTGTTCCTAATTCTTCCACACCCTGTAACCCCTTGTATTTTAGTGGCATTACTGACTTGCTTGGGGCGATTCTGATTACACACACACACACACACACACACATTAAGTTTGTGTGTACATGTCGATATTTATAGAATTTATCTAAACTTCTACTTGCCACAGTGTAATTTTAATTTTATTTAACATAAGTTACAGTAGAAGTTGCTTGTCTCTAGGTTTGAGATGATGACATCAGTTATATTGGTAAATTGAGAATACAGGAATATGAATCAATGAAAATTCTATCATGAAGTAAATATTCAATCAAAAAAACAGTGACGGCACAAAGTGACACAGAAAGGAAATGACAGAAATATAGGAATTTATAATGAAAGAAAAGTGAAAAATGGGTGGTGGGGGGGAATTATCACTGTCCCAAATTAAGATTTTTTTTTTTTTTTAAAGAGAAAATATTTACTATAGTTCTTTAATTTTACATTTAAAATAGAAAAAGAGCAATATATTATTAACTTGGTTTCAATGTTATGGTAACACAGAATACATGATTTGAGTGGCATCAATATTGTGCAAAATATCTCATTGCTAAGTTGGAAGATCAGATATTGTCACTAATAAATGTATAGTCACACTGTGTTTTATATTACAGATGTATCTTAAAAAAGAAACTATTGTATTGATTTATATTATTAGTGCATAAAAGAAATCTGCTTTATATTATGTCGTACTGTGTTTTAACAGATCACGACAGTTATTATGGAGATGTGATTAAATATACTTTAATATTTAAAATAAGTTATTCAGTCTTATTATTGTCTAGGTAATAAGCATTATAACATTGCACAAATAGCTTATATTGTGGAAAAAGGATTTTTTACGTATTTATGGTTATTTTTAACTTTTATCAAAAACGACATTCTTGTACATTTAGTTATGGATAATATACATTAGTTACTAATTTTTTTAATTAATAACTATTTGTACTCAGTTGTTGACATTAATAACTATCTGCTGATCTGTTAAAATTTTGGAATAATAATAAAAAATTAAATTTCATCTCTCTGATAGCTGTCGCAATCTGTAAATAAAGAAAAACAAATATTTATGAATAATTATCTCTCTTTATAGGATGAAGTCCAGAATACTGTGGATACTTCCAAACAGGCTCATGTCCATGTTAAGCCTTTACAAGAACCAGCACAACCTGCGGTTGCAGTAAGTAGAGGAGATTCATTACAATCTTTCTCATAACTAATTTTTGTTTTTTTAGTTTGTTTTTATTATTATCATCATTATATCTCTCTCCATCTTTTAAATCCTAACTGCTGTTCTTGGTCTACAAATGTTGACACTAAGGAAGACTTCATTTTCACTTAGGCTTTTTTTTTTTTCTAACATTGAAACTTGGGGATTGGGTTTGGGATTTTATCCCAATGTTGTAACGAATATGTAGCACTAAGAAAGTTTACAAGGGGTTTGCAAGCAGACAGATAACATTTTTGGAACATTTCTCAAGTGATAATTGTTATATTTCATCTGAAAGTAGACTGTCTCAGGATTTCAGAATTGGTATTATGATCATTTGAATTTAATCAAAACTTGCACATATTTAATAATTTAATTTTTAGATGATCACTTCTGGATAATCACGTTTTCTGCCTCTTTGTGCTGGGGAAAATCATTGGAATTTTATCGTGACAGACAGCTTTAACTTCACACTCTTTTTGGGGTTTGCAATACAAAATTCAATCAAATTAACTTTTTACCTGCTTTTTTGTTTTTAGAATATTTCTAACGAAAAATACCTGTCACAAAATTGTTTCTTCTGTCAGTGTAAATTCTCAAATGTTAAAACAATTCAAATCTGCAATATGTAAGAAAATTGTTCTCAGTTCTGTTCATCTGCTAAATTGATCATTACCTACTTTGGGCATTGTATGTTGGGAACCAAATATCAGTTTTTGACATCAACTTTTTCATATTTATCAGAAAATCATGATCTAGACCTCTCTTCCTATGTTCTTTCTGGTGCTGAATCTTTTTTACACCAACTCCCTGCAAAGTTAGTCTAAATGGGTTAAATGCAAAATCTAATCTCTTTTTAGGATTTTAGGCTCTTCATTGCAGAATAAGGTTTCTAGACCTGAACTCCTATTTTTTAATTAGAAATGTGAAAGTTTTGTTTTAATCTTAAGTATAAATAACATTTAATACACTTCTAGAATTGAGCTGAAAATGATCCTGTAACAGAAAATCGGGTCAGCCTAATAAAAGACTCCAAGTTGGTTGTATGTAGTGCTGTAAGCACCAGTAGTTGCGCCCCCTTCCACAATGGGCTGTTGAAAGTAGACCTTCTGCTTATAGTAGGTGGTGCAGACTATTTGCATATGAACAATACTAGGCCGGTATTAACCAATAGTCAGCATGGGTCTGGGACTGGGAGAGCTATATAACATCAGTGTTTTTCTATGTCAAAAGAAGTGCTCTCAAAGTGCAGACATGTGAAAACCAGATAAGACAAATACACATCCATGGCACTCAAAAACCGCAAATTATTGTGCAAACACTGAAGTTGTGCTGCCAATTCCCCCAAATGCATAGAGCACTTTTGTAGTAACTTCAAACATCAGGGAATGCTTTAACTGGAATGGAGAGTTACTTTACAGAGTAAATCTGTGATGTCCAGAAATATTATATGACATTATTGTTTTCAATTCAATAGCCTACAAGATAGATTTTCAAACCTCTGCTACTGTTTATTTTTTGTTCAGAATTTGTACTCCTTGTCCAGTTTTCTGTGTCATCTAAATTAAGATGGAGTAGAAATTGGGAAATGCTAATTAGCCAAATCCCCGAAATATTTTACTTTCTTCTTATAAACTATGTCAGCATTTAACACTCAACTTTTAGTAATTTTCTTTAAAAAATTCTCAATAAGAACGTTTCTTTATGCATAAACTGAAGAAATTTATTTGTTCTTTTGGCGCTATGCCAGATTGAAGAAAATATAGCAATAATCTCAAAATTAAATCCAGTGAGAAAACAAACCTGTGTTTTAGAGTTAGAAGTGAATTTCAGGCACTTTGAAATCATCTGATTGCAGTTGTGTTTCCCCAAATATAAGAAACTTGGTGGGGGGAGGTATGTCATTTTATTATGGCTTTCAAAAAAAACCATTCATATAAAAATATCTTTGCATCGTTGCATACAAAATATATTAAAACAAGGGAAGGAAAGAGCAAGGAAAAAGAAAAATAAAAGTTGTAAACTGAAAAAACACAAAAAAAATAAAAATAAATAAAAAGCTAACTGGTTATCACTCCTCAGATCTCAGTCAAAGATAAAAAGGAAATATGTGCACAGTGGCTAAAAATCAAGGGAAAAAAAATTACTATCAGAGAATCATACTTATTATAAAACCCAGGTTGTGTGTGTGTGTCTGTTTATTGGATCGAATTTCTTACATTTTTCAACCGATTTCAACAAAACTTCACAGGACTATGTAAAATTACCTTGCGGCTGTTCTGACAGCACCAAAAATTAGAAAAAACACAATTGTTTTTGCACGAAATCAATTTAAATACACGATTAAGAGGCATCACTGTCGCCAGAATAAAAGGGGGCCAACTCATATCGAGTTATACTTATTATAAGACCCAGGTTGTTTGTGTGTGTGTGTTCGTTTATATATGGGATCAGATTTCCTACATTTTTCAACTGATTTTAACAAAAAAAAACTAATTAAGACATGCGTGTCCGTCAAGCTTAAACAATAATCTTTGTCAATTTTATTTTTCAGTCTTTATGATAGTCAATACTTGATCTATCTCTTACTGTTACATCCCCGGGCAACGCCGGGCTCTACTGCTAGTCAGCAATATAAATCACAGACAGATTACATCAAGATCTCACAATCATTTCTTCTGCTAAGAGGGAAGGTTGCTTAGATTTAATATACAGCGTCTCTAGCACTTTCAAATGATAATCTGAATGTGGTCTGCTGATGGCTGAGAAAAAAAATCTCTGGTAAAAGATGAGGCACAAATCTGAGTTTTCATTAGGTGCTCTGCAATTGCATATCCAGATGTATTGATAAGCGTATGCAAATTTCATACTGCCTTCAATGGATCTTAGTTGGTATGTGCTGATGAACTGTCACCTTCAACCTTTGATTAGTTCTGCCAGTATATTCAGCATCACACTGACATTTAAAATTATAAATTACTGAATTTAATACTGTGTTGGGGCAGAACATCTTTATGAATGGATTTTAATATTGGTTGGGAATTGAAAACAAACTGTAGAGTAACTGAAAAAAGTAGCAAAGCTGCACTTTTGGCAAATTACTAAAAGTTTGCCTCAAACTAGTTAGAAAAAAAGAAGCTATTTTTAATTCACTACATTATTGTGTGTAATTTTGGTTCTCCTTGTTGTTTTAATATATTTGTATATATTATACAAATATATATTTTAAAATTATCATCTTTAAAGCCACATATAAATATTTAAATTTTATGAATGGACTGATTTTTCTCTCACTTGTTCTTTCTTTTCCAATTGTACTAAAATCTTTTTTCTTTTGTACATTTTTCTTAAAGTAAACATTCTTCATGCGTTAATGTATTTTCTGTTTTTATCTTTTTTATTTTTACAGAATGCTGTGAAGATATTTGTAAGTGCTTGTGCTGAACTGAACATTCCAGTATTTCTCTTGGAGGTGGATATTTTGAGCAGCCTGACTCCAGACAAGTCTCCTCCAACCACCTTCAGTAATGGTTGCCTCTTTGGCTGCCGGCAACATGTCACGTTTGGTTGTTATTATAAATACTGGGACACTCAGGTAAATACCAGCCTTTCATCTATTTATAGTTTTAATTATTATATCAATTAAGTCACTTAATGAAATTTATCTACAGCTGTTAGCTTATTTATATAATTTCAGTCTAAATTTCTGGAATGAAAAGTTGTCATTAGTTATAATTCAGACTAATATCCTCATCTAATGCCAGTCTGAATGTAAATAATAATTACATATTTTATTGATGTAATATGAAAGTATTTGGGGGGGGGGCATCTTCAATAGGATCATTGTTTCTTTATCTACAAAATTCTGTAGTTTGTACTTTTCTCAAAATGAAAATATTTTTTTCTCTTCTACCTTAAACCATTTTTAATCTCTTTTTGGAGTCACTTACTTTCTCTGATGAGTGTTTTCTTGTTTTTTACTGTGTCAAGTAAAGTATTCCTCTTTTGCATCCCTCAACACTATCATCAAATTTCTACAAAAATCGCCAGCTTGTAATTTTCTATTTCTTGCATGCAGCTGAATTGTTAGTGTTCCAAAAATGAAACTCTGTGTTCCAATCTCGCTGTGATTGATCAGTTAAGGAGGTGACATCTTGATAATATTATCTTCAGGAGGTGATTCAAGTGTGTGGCACTGTTGGTAGTATCTGAAAACTATAGCACAGGTTGATTCAACCTTTATGAGTGAAACTGGATAAAAAATGTTAATAGTTGGGATAGCATGTTGATGTGCAGATGGAAACTTTTAGTCTTGATTGGTTATCTTTTAGCTTTGATGGTAGGATGGTAAAAGCTCCTATTCCCCAGCAGCCAGAAAAGGTCGCAATGAATGAAATTCTTTATAGGAAAACAAAGTCACGTGAGTTCTTAATAATCTGTCACAGCTGGAAATAGCACATGATGATGGCTTGATTGTTAAATTTTATTTAAAATAAACATTTATACCATAAAGATATAATAAGGATAATTCATTTTAACATTTCACAGAAGAAGAAAATATAAATATATGTATGTACATGTATTTTATTTTTTATTCAGGGTATCGTTCAGCTGCTGAAGAGTGACTTTGCAATTCATAGTATTCGTCAGGCAGACCCAAGGCTGCATCATGACACCATTCCAACCCATTTCTTCCTACTTGATCGAGGTCACAAGCAGCCGACAGCTATCCAAGTGGTGATGTTCCATTCCCGGTTGGGCTCCTATTTTTGGCATGGTGCCATCACACCTTTGTCCCGGCTTAATAGGATCTTGCCATCAACTTCCAGTGTCACAATATATTTTGGTCTCTATGCTGGTGCTTACAAAAAGTAAGAATATTCTCATTGGCTGGGTGGAAATAGGAGAATTGGGATTTTTTTTGTTTTGTTTTCTCTTAACAACTTGAGAAATAAATAATTTCATGATATAAATTCCCAATCTCCTACAAATTTTTTTTTTTTTTAAGTATTAAAGGATATTTGCTAAAAGCAACACAAAAAAAAAAAAAAGAAATAAAACAAACTGAAGCAATAAATTTTCCATATTTTACAAAGCTATTTCTGCTCAGAGTTTTTTTTATATGACAAAAAAAAAACTTAATGAATATTCTCTTAAAATAAAACATAATTGTCATTTTTTCATAAGACTTTTATAGATGTTAATTATCAATAACAAAGATGCAGCTCTATTCCATTGTCATTTTGATGTAAGCCCCCCCTCTACCTCAATGCAATTGTTTAGTAAATTCATAATTTTTCCTTTTCTCTACAGATTTGAAGTGGATGATGTTCAGGTTGACAATGTAACTGTCAAAGTTCCTCAGCCTCCAGATAGTTTTGTGCAACAAATTCCTCACTCGAGATTTATTGAATGCAATGAGACTCAAGCCACAAAGTTTGCAGCACAATATGGCATAGACAATTCTGATATAAGTCAAAAATTCCAGCGAAAGGCTCGCCAAGTAATGGCCAAGGGGAAACAACTTTTGGACAGTCTAGAAATTAGGTTTTGGCTCAGTAGCGGAACTTGTTTGGGTAAGTAAAATTTTTCTCTCCTTATTATCCAATTATATGCCTGTAAGAAAGCGGCTTTAGGTAAAAAGCAAAACGTGTTTAAATTTTAACCTATATTTCTCTCGTTTCTAGAAACCATGTGTCAGTGAAATCAAGTTATTCATTACAAAAGATAATTGTTTTTTGAGTATAATTTAATTTAGGTACCTCCACTTTTTCGGCATAAATTTTTGATACCTAAGGTTTAAAAATGAAAAAGCATTCTTGAAGATTTCATTTTAGCTTTAATTGAAAGCTAAAGGATTAAATTTATTATTTCCAGTAAGTAAAATATTCTGGTGTATTTCAGATAGAAATTCTATAGATTGGAATGTCAAATTTAATTTCAATTTATTAAAACTTAGTTTTAAGAAATTTGTAAACAAAATTTATTGATTTTTAAAACTCTTCTAATATATATATATATATATATAATGGCATGTTATTTAACTTTAAATTTTCTAATTTTACTCAAATATTAAAAAATTTAAAGTTAAATTAATCTGATTTGAAATAAATATTACTTACTTATAGCTTAAAAATTAATATTTATATTATTGTTTGGCCGTGTTTGATTGATGACTAGAATTGACATATAATTTACAAAATCCGAGTCAATGCATTTTAACTACCTCATAGATTTTACAAATGAACATATTTTCTGCAATTATCTAATAATTTATTGACTTTATTTACCTTTCAAAGAACTTTATGCAAAAATTTTTAAAAAAAGTTAAAATACTATAAAATTTTCTTAAATTAATTTCTCTGTAAAGAGACAAAACTTAGATCATGTAACCTTTCTATAATAATGTCACATTTAGCCTTTCATAGATGAAAAAAGGGAACAAATTAAGTAAAAAAAAAAATAAAATATTTTAAAAAGAGAATAGTGCAACTATGCTTATTAATCTTTTCAATTTTGGATTTGTAAATTTCATTTGCAATTAATTACTATATCACATCCAGGAAATAGCCCAGTACAGAATTTTACACAGTTTTAAGCTATTATAAATTATGATTAAAATTTAAAAAAAAAAATTCTTGTAAAAATTCATTATTCATCAGAAAAATTTTATTTCTTCAAACAATAGTGTCCTTAATATAACTTATTTATAAAGGCAATTAAAAGCTTTTCTAATTAAATGATGTCATAGCTTTATTGCATTCATTATTTTTCAATTCAGAGCAGATTTTCATTTACAATAGTGCAAGTTTGAAAAAGAAAAAATTAGGTAATTTAGATTCTCTAAAGAGTCCTACCTTTAACGAATAAAAAAAAATTCAGGAAATAGATTTCATGAAATTAAGTAAGAATTTCCAAATCAATGTGTTTTCAACAGAAAAAAAGTGCAAAAAAGTCAATGTAATTTTTTTGCTCACTGGGGTAGACTGTTCTAGTTCCATGTGCCATATTTTAATGGATGTCAGTTATCTCCAGTTAATTTCCCTCTGAAAGTTCTCGGTATTGAACTCATACTCTTTGGGTCCTGTCACTGGATCTAACGCCTTTATCCACTGTGTCATGTGTCCTTGAGGACATCTGTGTATGAACTTCTGGGTATTATAAACCTAATGTCTTCAGCAACCTTTTTTTTACCAGAGCTCATATTGCAATTTTTTGTTTTTATTATCGCTTTTCTCTGGCACTCCTTATTACTGGTTCCCATGTATTCATTTCTATGCTTGGTTGGCTCAGGAGATTTTTGCGCCCTAGCAAATGTGCTGATTTCTTAAGTTTATGAATTTTGCAATGGTGTTCTTTGTCTATGATCTCAACCTGATCCCACAGAGGGCGGTGATCTCCCTTCTCTCTCCATATGTGGTCAGCCACGCCTGATTTTTCCACTTCCCTTGCTTTCTTGAAGCCTTACCTTAAGGGGGCAGTTTGTCTCCCCTTTATATTTCTTTCTGCAGCTGCACGGGATAGCATACACACAGTCTTTAGTCATGTTCTCCTCTATGTGGGGGGGGGTGTCTTACTTGAAAGAGGAAAGTTGTCCTGATGTTGTATGCAGCTGCGGAAAGAAATATAAAGGGGAGATAGGCAGCCCCCATAAGGTAAGGCTTCAAGAACACCAGAAACCTGTAACATGAGACGAAGTGGAAAAATTAGGTGTGGCTGACCCCATATGGAGAGAGAAGGGAGATCACCGCCCTCTGTGGGATCAGGTTGAGATCATAGACAAAGAACACATTGGAAAATTCGTAAACTTAAGGAATCAGTAAATATTCTAGGCTGCAAAAATCTCCTGAGCCAACCAAGCATAGAAATGAATACAATATGGGAACCAGTAATAAGGAGTACCAGAGAAAAGTGGTAAAAACATACAATGATAACAGCAAAAATTGCAATATGAGCACTGGTAAAAAATGGTTGCTGAAGACATTAGGTTTATAATACCCAGAAATTCAAGGACACATGGCACAGTGGATAAAGATGTTAGTTAGATCCAATGACAGGACCCAAAGTGTGTGAGATCAATTAATTATTCAATTTGGTTAAGGCAGTGGAGAACTTTCAGAGGGAAATTAACAGTAGATAACTGACATCCATTAAAATATGAACTGTCCGAAATAAAGGGTTCAATTCAACATTTTAAGCACCTGAAGAAGGCCAAAACATTGTAATAAATATGGCGACAAAGATGAGGACAATAGTCCTAATAATGTAAATAATGTACATAATACATCATCTCAGAAATATAGACAGTGTTAGAAAGGATTAAAAAAGAATTTCAAAAAATAATAAAAAAAAATACTTTGGTTTTTCATCTTAATAATAACAAACATTTTGACAATAAAACTTTATTCTTATTAAGTTTGTGTCCTTTTTCATTATTCTATGCTGTTTTCTGTGAAAAAGTAGAGATATCTAATTCTTCTCAAAATTGTATTTTAATGAAATTGTTTTTTCAACAGTTCCAGGAATAAAGGCCTTGTACTAAATACTTATCAAGAAAAAGTTAAATAATTAGAATATTTTATAACAGATCAGGATTCTGAGAGGGATTAAATTTTCTTTACCAGGTTGGTTTCGCCAATGTGGCATCATTCCTCATAGCAAAGATGTGGATTTGGGCATCTGGATTTCTGATTACAATCCACAACTGATTCCCACTTTTCAGGAGAATGGATTCAAATTGAAGCACATGTTTGGCAAGGTGAGTCTCATAAAACTCTAATTACAATCTTTTTCCATTTATATATCAGTGATGGAAAATTCATTGTTTCAGTTGATTTCCCTGTATTTTAAATTTAAAACAAGAATAATTATTCTTGCTCTGTTTTCCAGATTTCTGACAGTTTTGAACTGTCTTTCAGTGCAGGTGACATAAAATTAGATCTCTTCTTTTTCTACGACACACCAAATTACATGTGGAATGGTGGTACCCAAGCCAAAACAGGAAATAAGTACAAGTGAGTGTCTTTTATATGAAATACTGATTTACTGAGACTTAAGCGCTTACTATTCATCATAGTCACATTTCCTTTCTCAAACCCTGCAGAATATGACTTTAATATTAGGTGCTAGAACTTTCTTTCTTAAAATTATGATTTGTCTAATGAAGAGGTTTATTTATCAGTCTATCACGTGTACTGATTCTTTTAATTGCTTTGTTCTATAGAACAAAGGCATTGGTTAAGTTAATCTAGTTACACTCTTCCAGAAGATTGTAACAAGATTTTTTTCTTCTTTTGCTAGGTACATTTTTCCTCGCTTTACACTCTGTTGGACTGAATTCTTAGATTTACGTGTCAGAGTGCCCTGTGATACTTTGGCTTACATTGAAGCCAATTATGGTCCTAATTGGTTTCGGCCAGTGACTGAGTGGGACTGGAAGAAAAGCCCATCAAATGTGAAAGAAAATGGAGTCTGGCCCGAGAAAGAATGGGACCAAGTAATACAAGTGTTTTGAGTATGTATATAATATGTATATGTATATAAGTATGTGTTTTGTGTAGAGTCATTAATTTAAAATGTTTTACAATAAATGTTTCCATTCATTCTTGTTTTTGTTTTAATCTCTTTAAAAAAATAAAAGGAATTTTTTTTTTTTTTTAAAACAATAGCATTACTTATTTATTCACACTGATGCATGCAATCAAGCAGTTTGGCAAAACAATGGATGGAAATGGTGGTTTATAGTTCTTCTCTTGGACGCCAGACATCAACACAAAAAGTGCTACCAGCACAAACCAGGATATTATTGCAGTAATCCATCTGCAAAGATTATCAAAAAACATCATCAGGATTTCAAATAAGTACAGATATAATTTCATGATTATATTTGTATCCAAACCAAAAATGAAATAATTTTTTTTAATTCTACTCACACAAGCAATTTCCCCCAGTTTTGGATCAAAGCATGTAATCTGTTTCGGGTTAAGTGTTGGTTCCATTACTCGGATGTGTCGATCTGTAGATGAAGTGAAGAGGGCTCCTAGGGAATGTTTGATGCAGGTCAATTTGCTTTTGTGGCCAAAATCAAAGGTCTACAAATAAGGTCAAATTTGAGAGAGAGTGACTGATAACAATTTAAACCGCGGTTGGTAATGATTTACAATTATTTTATGCTCTTGTCATTTAATCTTTGACAATGTTGGCTTAGTTCATAAGCGCTACAAATCTAATATTATGTCTCTATTGTGAGAAGAAACTGGGCATCAAAAACTTTGGATTCAATTATTTTTTTTAATTTTCATTCTAAGAATAAGGCAATTCATCAGGTGCCCATCTCCTCTCCAAATGCAATGCGTTTTAAAACTAATCAAGTTATAATATCAGCCATAGATAGCTTGGCTACATGTGGAACCTAGTGAAGATTGAAAATTATTAACTAAGTATATATGTATAAAAAAAAAAAGTAAATTTATTAATCTTACCTGTACAAGTTCAAATTTATCTTCTGATGTATCAATAAGTTGGACTTGACCAATACGGTCTCCTACCCACAACTGATGGTCACCATAGCTCAGGCACATTGGGTAATTTTCCATCTACAAATAAAAGCATATGTCATGTTTATTAAAAGAAAGAAAAAGTAAATTTTCTGTAATAACATGGTTGGTAAAAGTCGCTGCTAAATCCATTTTCCTATATTCTCATGCTTTTTTTTTTTTTTTGCAAGCTAATAAAAAACAAATTATTATTAATGAAAACTTGGTCAATGTCTTGTAAATTGTAACAGTAAACAATGATTATATAACGGACAAATCTTATTGATAAAAAAAGGTTAAAAAATATCCTAAATGAAATAAAAATTCAATATTCACATTTTCATCCTGCCTAACAAATCTTCACAAGTTTAATTAGTTCTTTAGTATTTCTAAATGTTTACAACAGACAACACATGGCTGCTTTGCTTTGAAAATCAAAGAGGACAAAATACAGAAATGTCTTCCACACAAAAACAGATATAGACTTTAAAAAAAGCTTGAATAAGTTGTGTAAATTTAAATGTTGATTTTATGATCTAGGTTATATATCAGAATGGCTCACCACACCAATCCAAAAATATGAATCATCTCTTCTTTTTTGCTCTCGAAATATCTACAATGCCTTTACTTTAGATAATAGCCTCCAGCAATGTGAATGTTTATGGCTGGTCAAAATGACAAAACACCATAATAGCTAACGTGATAAATATGAAGAAATGCATCTCAGGGCAAGTATTTCATTTTGTTTATTATAATCTACCATATTACAAACTAGAGAATTTCTACAAATCTGACTACACTACTTTCCCATTTCTTGAAAATGAATGAAAACCTTACAAGAAATATTTGCATTATGGTTGAAAGTGGAATTGGTTTGTCAAGTTCAAATTCTAGCTGAGTTTGTTGCATTCACTTTTGCACAAATATTCTTAGGAAAAGTAAGAATGCATTTCTTCTACCTACAGCTACAATTAGCAGATAAGACTGGTTTGCAACCAGTCTAGAAGGAAAAATTTGATTTCAAAGCCAGTTGGGTGTGAGGCTTGCAACTCCACCCTGTAAAAAAAAAAAAAATATATACTTGCTAGAGAAACACTTTGCATAATGCAGCTGTGGTTCTTAGTGCTATTGACTCCCCCAGTGGAATTTAAGGAGGAGTAGGAAATGTGGGATATTTTGCATAATATGAATGAATTGTGGCAAGGATTTTATGAATTTTACTGGATTCTTTAAGTTTCACATTATTAGCCAGGTTATTGAATTTTTGTTTAACAAAATAAGGAATATACAAGACGTGTTTTGAAGAAAACGTTGAAAACACTAATAACAAAATTATCAAGATAAAATTGGAATGTTTCCCCTCCATGTCATGCAACTAGTTTTAGGAGTTTGATTTTGGAAGCTGGCATATTTCTTTATATGAAACACACTACATTGCATCCAGAGTGACATTCCAAAGTTCATCTTTGCTGCTCGTTTGCCAATATACAGCTTCAACTTCAGAATGCTTCACAACTGAGTTAAGGTAAGGTCAACAAGTGTTGTCGAAACTCATTTTATTCAAATATTATTCTTCACGGGATTGGATGAAACTTTTTCATGCATAAAAAAATCTTCATCTTTCTAAAACTGTTTGGTTACTTTTTAAACCCAAGCTCCACATTCAATGTTTCAGCTGTCATCCTAACACCATCTGGAACTCTTTTGGGGTCCATTGCTTTCCTATCTATAACCCACCCTAAAACATCACACCACTTCTGCTTGTTTTATGTCTGAGTGTGTTTCCTACCAGTAGCTACTAAGCCTTTACTTCATTCATCTGTCTGGCCTGGCAAAGGTAACAATTTTCTTTGAATTTTCCTTTATGGATAATCACAAAAAAAGGCTTAGTGATACATTTCACTTCTTTGGCCTTTGTGCTTTTCAACTTTCTTGCTACTGCATTACTTCAAAATATTATTACTTGACAAAGATTTTTTTATAACTTTCTTTATAAGGGACGCTGATCAACAAGATAACGTCTTCAACTTGATCTCATTAGGAACTCTTGAAGAACCCTCAGTTAATTTTATAATTTCCAGTTGTTTTAACCTGAAACGTTTTTCTTTCTGTCAATACAAATTTATGTCAGATTTTAAAGCTTCAAACTTGCAACATCAGTAATTTGGGACATTTTATAAATATATATCAACACAGAATGAATCAACATTCATTCCAATTGTGTAGATAGATTTTTGCATAATACAGCAAATAAAACTTTTGATTCAAATATAATTTTTACAATGTGATAAAACAAAAGTAGTTAATAAACTGAGGCATACATTAAGAATTATTTATATTTTGCATTTCTTGCAATTTTTTTTCAATTTTTTAAAATATTAAAAAAAAAAGTTACTCACTGTTAACTTTTTAAAAACTGTGTTGGTTTTTCGGTCATAGATACAAATGTGTCCATCTTCACTACCAGTGATTATGTGTTTCTCATTAACTGCCAGGCAGAGGATAGGCATCTGGTGAATTTTAGTGGACTGCATCTGATGAGCACGAGTATCAATAATGTATAGGCATTTGTCATGGCCACCAGCAATAATGTACTGCTTGTCCATATGGATATCAAGTACAGCTGACTTACACCTGGAAATTTTAAAAACAAAATGTTTATTTGTACCTACTTATCTATATAGGATTTAATGCTTTCAATATTCCCCATAAAGTTTCTCCAGAGAAAATTTTAAGTTTTACTATGTTCTATCACAATACATTAACTCTTTTGTTACTTTTAACAATACTTTCTCTTTTATGACCTCCTCTTACTCTCATCCAATTTGTACAAACTTTTCAAGTCGGTTACTGCCTGCTTTTCTATGTTTCTCATGCCTTCAGTGTACTTTGTGAGTATTAAATTCTCCAAGCCCTCTTTTCTTGTTACATGTCACAAAAATTCAAACTGTATTTTTCTGATTGTTATCAGCAGTTTCTTTATATTTCTTGTTCTCTTTAGAGCTTCATAATTTCTCACATGCACAGTCCATATTATTTTCAACATATAAGGCTGCACATTTGGTTGCCTCATGTTTTCATTTATGGGGAAATTGTCCAGCTTTCACTGTCATATAGTTATATATTGCCTTATTACACTATTTCTCGGCATTATCAGTTGTCACTAGATAAAGAATTTCATTTGTTATTTACTTCTTATTCTTTTATCCTTCCTTCTTTAGTCTTAACAATGCACTTCCTTTAAGGTGTTCCACTTAGAATCCACAGCATATTCCAAAGCTTGGTCTCAATTGCAACTTTATATGCTTGTACCCAAATGAAGTTGCGTTGAATTTTAGGCATTACTGAAAATAAAAACTATAATAATTCACAGTAGCATTCCAGTCCTGTTCTTTGTCCATTTCCTCTTTTGACTGACTCATTCACTCACTTTTGTTTTCATGTTTTGTAAAGGATTTTGCTTTGTTGTTTAAAATACAAGCAACAATAATAGAGCACCCTGACATAAATTTCATGCTGCCCGCACTTATTACTATGAGTGACAATCATAAGGTTTAAGTTCAAAAGAAAAAATAGAAAATGAATGAAAGTAGCAAATACAAAAAAATTGATATTCTCATTAATCTCTTGGTAGCACATGGCATGCAAATGAGAATAAAATCAACTCAGTAATGAGTTTGATCCTCATTTTTGGTCTTCTGACACATCTAAGCTATGCTTAGAAGAAAGACTTTTGCAGAAATATATTAATTATATATGTTGTATAACTACAGAGTTTTCACATTGGGCTACTAAATTTGAACTTTTTCATCGATAGCTCCAAAAGTTGCATGTAACAAAAGTTAAAATAACACTGTATCCTAAACTGATAAATTCTAATAGCCACACAATATCATGAAAACAATGTCAATTATAATTTGTGAAAGTTTTACAATCTAATGACAAAATTAAGTTTTGTCATTATTGTTTAGATTTTAAAATTTTCACAAATTGCAAGGGAACAAAAGTCTTAACACCCTGTCTATTAATGTTCTTTTTGAGGTTTAAGAATTAATTGGTAGGTATATATAAATCTGAAACTGTCATAACCGTTATCCTTCCTTGTATGATATTCCTCATTTAGTCAAGACAAAATAACAACTTGTCTCCTATCCACATTATATAACACTAGTTTCTTGTACCATGTCAGCATTATCCTGATTTCTCAATTACCCAACAAATTGTTAAACATAGAACAACATTTCTGGATCACCGTGTTATCGCCAGTGGATTACAAAAATTAAAAAAAAATATGAGTATATGACTAAATGCAAATAAGCAAAAAGTAAATATATCTGGGAAATCCACTTGTCTGAAAGAAAATAAATATGCTTGTAAAATCTTTCTCACAAAATATAAAAAAACAAATAGTGAAACATTAATTCACCTGTATGTTGATACAAGTGGATTCTCGGCACATAAGTCCCATAAACGGATCTTTGAGTCCCATGAACCAGAGCAGAAGTGTTTATCATTTGAGCTTAAGCACCAAATCCAACCCTAAAATTGAAGCAAACAAAACACAAATGGTTGACAAAATGAGGTTCTCTAATTTTTCATTGGCATTCTTTAAACTTGACATGATATGCAAACAACGCATTTCTCAGAATTATTTGTATTAGTTGAAAAAATATCAAGTCATCAAATTTTAACACACAAAAAAAAGAATGCTTTTGAAATTGGATAAAATTAATAACATCTGGTCAATAAATACTTGTTTACTACTGTGGTATTAAATGCAAATGACTTGAGGTGTTCTTTCTTAAACCTTCAAAGAGGCACCACAAAGATGGTCAACACCTACAGTATCAACCACCACAAATGGGTGAGACAGACAGCTGGCAAGCCTTCTTACAGGCAATCACCCTCATTGGATTAATCCACAACATTCAGGGCTGAGTAGAGGAGACTAATCATGATGCTCCTTCCAGCCACCAATTCCACTGTTGAAAAACCTGTCTTGAAGGGGTCCTGCCAATCACTAGGTGGGTCTGCAACAGATATGGAGCTAGCTCCTGAATCCCCATTCTTCAGGCATAAATAGGTAAGAGATAGAGAAAATTTTATGAATAGCTGCTGAAAAGTTCTCAGCCTAACCAAAAAGTTATTGCATTTGATCACATTTTGGGAACTTTTTAGCATCCCACTTGTGCAAAAATTGACTATAATTGTTAAATATGTTAACATTTCCTTTACAAGCCTTTATAATTTTAAATGATAAATAAAAATCATCACTTGGAGGTTTTTCAAAATCTTAGAAATCTAAAAACATATGAACAATAACAAAAAAGGGAGTAAAGAATTAATTTTACTATTCAAAATTTATTGGAACCCCATATATGTTGCTAAACTATTATCTTACCACTTCTCAGAAGACACGTTTTTGATTATACTAGAGATCTGAATGCAGAAGGACTAATCTTCACTTGCCTTAGAGCACAGTTATTAAGTTGATATTAATGTTCCTAAAAACTATAACAAACAAATAAGAACCAATGCCATGTTTATGCATGATAGTTTGGTAAGCTGCATTTTTTCTAATTTTAGTTAACTAGTTAAAAGGCCATAAGGTTATAAATTATTTTTAAGATGGCCACACTGAAAGCAATGCTCCCTATTTTATTTCATTAGCAGTAGAGGTTGAATCCCACCAGTAATCTATAATTCTTTTTTTGCCTTGTTAGAGACAACAGTTGAGTGGCATTCAAAGCAGAGATGCATCATTGAATTTCATTCATGCAGAAAAAATTGCACCCAATGACATTATTGATGTGTGAGAAACATTTATGGAAGTAAATAATGTATATAAGCACAGTTCAGTAACGAATATGTTCTGGGTGGCTTTGTACAGCTGCTAACCTATGAAATGCCAACGCTTGTTCACTGATAAAAATTGCATACTTTGTGGGGAAAATAGCATTATGTAGCCGAAAACGTGCTCTATACTGTAGTGTTATTGTGCTCTCTGTATTTGTGGCTTCTGGGGAAATAAATAGGAAGCATTATTTTTGGAGCATCCCCTCATATTTCTTATGTAATTATATTCAGTAAATAAAAAATTTTCATCATTGCTATTAACCTGGATTCAATCATTTTTTTTTTTGACTAACATCCCCATCTTTTACACATGTATGTTAATTAGGAAGAAACATGACAAAATCTCAGAAATCCAAGTAGGATCAATGCAATATCTGTTTGCAGTTTTTATGTTTTACAAAGAGACACTTAAGAAAATGATACAAGTTTCAAATTTATTCCTCTTTTTTTTTGTCCTTTGAATTGCAAAAATGTTTAAGGTTCAGCTATAGAGAATTTTAATTGAATTTGTTCCAAAGTGGTGGGATGGGATGGCAGGAGCCTTGGCAAAGGGACAAATATTGCTAAGGGATAGGAAGTTATGGAGAGCCATTATCACCCATGTCCTGAAGGGACACAGCACATAGAAGAAATAGTTACAGAAATACAAAAGTAAATGATTACCTGATGAGTTTTATCATCTGCAAACACAATGGCATCTCGACAAGTCTGAGGATCTCTGGCTTCAGGTCTAGTAAGATCAAAGATTGTGACTGATCGGTCCCGGGAACCAGCTGCCAATAAATTGCCACCCTGTACAAAAGGCAACAAAAAAAAAAATCTGACCACAGAATAATTAACCAGGATATCTTATAGATAATTCCTAAAGCCTGTTCTTGAACACTTTGTTCATTCTCTAGGTTTTGTAAATATCAACAGAGATGTATGTAACATTTTGTTAATAAATGATTCCAAAACATTTATCATGACCTTCATTTTTCTTTGGTCACATATTTGCTTCCATTCAATAATTACAAATTTGTTTTTAAGAATAAAATATTAATGCGTTATTAATTTAACACTTGCTGCTGCATTATTATAGTATTGTTGCCTAGCTGTCCTGGCATGTTTCAGAAGAAAAAAAGAAAAAGGAAATTGACATTTACTGGAAATAAATGACTATAATGATACTGATGATTATTTCTTATGGGTGCCACCATTCTGGTTTTGATCAGATACTCTGACTAAACTAAACAACATCCCCCACCCCCAACACATAATAAAAATACTTCACAGAACAGGTTGTACAATATCTACTATATATCTAGACTGGTTTGGAATTATCACTAAGCGCTAGTTAGAATATAACACAAATACTGGGGACTGACATTTCATGGAGTATTGAGAATATATAATTTAAAGGTTATATTTAGTGGATACATGCGTTGATGTAGACATCTCTGTAAATCTATGTCTACTGGTATGAGCATTCAAGAGTTCTAATAAAAAAAATGTGTCTTCTGGCAGGATTTGAACCTGCATCCCCTTTGTATGCTCAAACCTTGTTGGAATACACAGGCCAGTAGACAGAATTACATTTTTTTAAAAAAACGAATATTTACTCAAACACGTGTATTTAGTAAATATAAAATTTAAAGTAATAATGTCAAATTAGAAATAATATATATATATATATATATATATATATATAAAAAATGTAAAAGTGTATATTGAATTCAACACTCAGAGGCGACAGGCTGTTTCATGCTAGACTGAAAGAACCTGTTGCCTCTGAGTGTTGACTTCAATGTTCACTTTTACATCTATATATGCTCTATCTCTGATATTGAGCCCTTTATCCCATAAATATAGCACACCTTAAAACTATATTTCATCATATATATATATATACACACACACACACACACGCAGTGCAATGGCTAAATTGTTGCCCAATTCTCATTTTAACATATATTTACCAAAATTACACAAAAATATCTTGAAATACTAATGAGTAAATTTATTGAATGAAATTGCCTTTGGCTTCAACCACAGCTTCCAGATGACTTCAGAATCTCCTGCAACTCTTCTGGACAGTCTCCTTGTTTATGTTGGTGAATGCTGCCTTCAGTTCTTCTTTTGTGTTACAAGGAGTTTTGTTGGTATCTCACTCAACTGCCTCACACATTATAATCAAGAACATTGCAATTTGGGGAGTTAGGTAACCAGATGTAAGGGGTGATGTGGTCATAGAAATTATCTAAGACTGGGTTCCTCTGCTTGTGTGACATGGTGCAGAGTCATGTTGCCAGACATAGGATCTTCCAGCAGCCACCCTCTTGACCGAGGGCAGCACTACCTCCTCAAGGCAGTTAATGTAGGCCTCTGAGTTGAGTCTGAGGCCCTGTTTGAAGATGAATAGAGGCAAAATGTTGCCATCACTTGTGATCACTCCAAACATCTTTGTAATCATCATTAGACTCATCCAACACTTTCCAAATCTTCTGCACTGTCCTCAGATTGACACCCAAACACTCTGAAATGATCGTATTGGAGCTTCCAGTGTGAATGCTAAGCAGTACAGTATGGCGTTTCCAAATTTCTGGCAGAATGAATTGTGTCATGGTGGTCTCTTTCTCCCAGAAGGTGCCAAATGAACCTACTATAATGTGCAGTTTGCAAAATCAAAAACAATGTGCATACACAAAATTAAAAATATAAAATGGTGATAATTTACCCATCACACCCCACATATATATATATATATATATATACATACACACACATATATATATATTTGTGTAGTTTATACAAGTTTTGTTAAAAATCAGTGACAAGGTACTGTCCTTGCTTTTCATGTTGGCTGCTGGGTCATGGGTGTGTGTGTAATGGGGCAGCTTTGAAAGTGTTAATAGAAAATCTATAACTTATTTGACAAAGTTATCTGCCTGCCAGTCTTTCATTACCTAATGGATATGAAGAGCATGTACTCAATTTGATGAAGAATGACAAGTAGCTAAACAATGAAATGCTTATCAATGAAGAGACATTAGAAGTGGATGGCTGATTGGATAATGATGGTAATCATCATTATTTCATGACGTCTAACAATAAATTACTTAAAAAGCAACTATTTTATGTTTTTTTTTATGAAATATCCTATGAATCCTTTACAACTAGGACTATGGTCAAAGAGTAAAAAATAAAATTCTAAAAATGGACATATGAACAAGATCATCTGGTATAACAGTACTTTCATTTTAAAAATGACACCATTAATGAATAGTAAACAAAATTCTTCTTTGTCTTTTGATTTTATTTAAAACAACAAACTTTGGCAATGTGTGACCTTCATACCCACAAAAAAATGGTGTCAAAAAGAGCATTTTTCCCTTGATACTGCTATTATTTTAACTACCTTACTTCCTCTACAATGTTTATTTAAAACAATAAAACTATTAATAAAATTTTAATAAAACCAAAACATGAAAGTGAATTTGCACATCTTCTGTCTCCTTGAGAATTTATAACAAAAATATTAAACACTATTATATTGTTTATTAGAATGGTTGGTAAAACATTGACTAATTGGTTATAAACTTTATAAAATGGTAAATAATAAGGAATTCTTTATAGTTGGTTCATGTATTTTTATAATTTAGTAAACTTTTTAAATTCATGAATAAAAAAAATTGTTTTTATATTTATTTCTTTATAAATTGGTAAATGGTAAATAATTCAGTGTATTAGTTTTTAGAATGTAAATTATTCTTGTAAATAAGCAATTTAATAATGTTTAATATTTTTGTTATAAATTCTCAAGAACAAAAAATGTATAAATTCACTTTCATGTGTTTAGGCTTTATTAAAATTCTAATCATCACTTTTTAGAAACAATAAACATTGGTGAGGAGTAAAGGTAGTTAAAATAATAGTGGTGTTAAGAGAAAAAAAAATGTCCTTTTGACACATAATTCATTTTGTGGACACATTGCTCAAACTTTAATAAACTTTATAAAGGCTTCAAAAACATCCATTAGAATATTTTACAACTAATACTTACTTCTTCACCAAAAGGCTGCTACAAACTGGTTTGTTTATGATTATCTCATATTGCCTTTTACCATTTAAAAAAAAAAAAATTGGTGTGTGGTGGCAGCAAAAATATAGGTATATTTTAGCTGCCACAATAAAGCAATATGCATTTAATTGAGGCTAACCAGATTACTTTCCCCATTTTGCTTATAAAGTAATTCACAAATTTTTGATTTCTTAGAGAAATGTTTTGTTTTAGGCACTTGCACCTTTTCTTGTTCTTTGCAATTAAAAGTCATTAAGTGCATTTAACTTCACTTGAGAAACTCACAAAAAAGCACATTATATATAATGAAAAATATTCAGTGAATTATTTACATTTATTTCCAGTTAATGTCTTTATCCTTTTTGTTACTATCACAATGGCTCAACTGTTGAAGTATATGAAGAAACTGCTAAAATAATCGTGTTTCAATTTTCTCATCAGGCCTAAGTTCCATTTGATATGACCAATTGAGGAGAGACTACCTAAGGCTATGACTGATGACCTTAAAATGGAAAAGTGAGAAAAGCACTAGAATAAGGCCAAGTTACTTGCATCAAACACTACAAGGGAAGTAAAGAGTGACACAAATATCATCATGCCATCAGCCAGACAAAAGTGATGCTACAGTAGTGATGCATAAGTTGGAATACTTAAAAAAATTGGCAAGCCTCATTGGGGATGAGTAGTTACAGCAAGATCTGACAAAAGAATCTGACTATAGAAACTAAAAGAAAGCGGTCATAGATTCTAAATAAGAACAAAGACTACTTCACAATGAATAAGCATAGACAGTTAACTCAACATTACACTGTACTGCAATATATACAGTTTCCACAAGTTGTTAATCTATTGAGCCAAGCACCTACAGCTAACTTATAGCCAGCTGTAGGTGCTAGGTATGCCACCCACTGGGCAGATTTCCGCTAACAGGAAAGTCCTAATCATACATTAAGAATTTGAACCACTTCATAGAATCAGTTTGAAGTACTCCTATCTGTAACAATCAGATGGTAAGACTGTCCTATCTGTAACAATCAGATGGTAAGACTGTTCACCAGGGCTCTATTGGTGGTTCAAAAAAGATTTTAATTGGACCTTCTCTTGAGGAATGGCAAGGTTGGCATTCTGTGTACAGACAATATTCATCCAACTAGGGTTTAATATATACCAGCAGGATGAAGGCTTGATTATGGGTAAACCAGTGATGAAATACTTTCAGGAAATGGCTTTAGAAAAACTAAAGCCAGCCAGCCAGCCAGCCAGCCAACCATATGGCTGAGATATGTAGATGACATCTTCATACTCTTGATTCACTATAAGATATGCAAATACTGCTTGTGCATGGGAACTAAGCAAGACTTCTGATTCATGCACTTCACAATAGAAGAGAGGAAAACAATCTGATCACCTTTTGGGATGTACTAATAACTCACAGAGTGAATGGATTCAAGGTAACCATTTATCACAAACCAATATTCACTGGACAATACCTACTGACCAGGTAGCATAAAGAAAGGGATTGTCTGATTCCTACAACTGGTGACCCAGACACATGCCAACAGGAGATAATCAGCATCAAATGTGCCCTTCAGAATAACAACTACTCTGCAAATACAATTATCAGTTTCTGCTGGCAGAAACAGAAGGGTCAAGGAAAAGAAAAACTACCAGAATCCATCTTCCTTATATCAAAGACTTATGGGAAAAGATTCAGAAAATCCGTTGTCTATAATACATCAGGAAAATATTCTGAAGGAGCTTAAATTTATGGAGAAATTGCAGCCAAGTCAGACTAACACCGAGGAGAAAATGACTAAGAATTATGCGTATTCCATCCCTTGCAGTTGTGTCAAAGAATAAAAACATGAAACCAGCGACCACCCCCACCCACTAAGTATGGCCAGAAGAACACTGAATAGCTGTAATAAAGGATGAAGCAATGAAATCAGCCATGGTTGGACAGAAAATGGTAGTCATCAAACCGCTGTGGAATGAAGTAAAAATACTAGACAAATAAGAATTGGAGAAATCATATGCAAAATGAGAGACTCCTCTCTGATTTCCATCAGCATGGCTGATGTTAACCCCCAGGAAAGTGACGCATTGCACCTTCTCGAGCTAGTGTTCTCAGCTGACATGAAGTGGAAAGACTATATTGAATCCATCGCTAGGTCAGCTGCTAAGAAAGTCGGTTCACTGTGTTGTGCAAAACAAATTTTTCTCTCCAGAATATATCCTATACACATCTATAAGTCTACCATTTGTCCATGTTAAGAATATTGCTGCCACATATGGTCCAGTGCCTGTTATTTACCTTGAGCATGGTTTCAGTCACTTTCCCACTGCCATAAGGTTGCCTCCCTGTGTCTTTTCTATAAATACTTTCATGCTAATTGTTCGGCTGAGCTCTTCTAGCTAAGATACCTAAACTTCTTGAATTTAAGCACAGTACTAGACTGAGATCTCATCATCTTACAGTTGAGCTGGCTAGATGTAATCATAAATTCTATGCTAACAGTTTCTTTTCTCACACAAGTAAGAAGTGTGAGAAAAGAAACTGTTAGCATAGAATGTCAATCACTATCTACTGTCCTCCTGATTACTCTTCCTGTTCATTATTAATGTTTCTGTTCTTAATTCTTCCACAATCAGTGACCTTTTACAACCTTGCATGGGGTGAAACAGATTTAAAAAAAAATAAATATGTCAAGCTATGACAGCTGTGGTGAATATGAAATAAAAATAACTCTTTTCTTCACAGTTTTCAAATTTATGAGCCTGTGTGAAAATTTATTTTGACCAATAGAAAAAGGAATTGTCTCCAGGCTGAAGAAAAAAACCAAGGCAAAGTTCAATGAGCCTATGTGAAAATTTATTTTGACCAATAGAAAATGGAGCAGCTTACAAACTGAGAAAAAAGTAATGAGCTGATGTCAAATCGCTTTTTGATATAAATAGGCAGAAAATGTTGAATCCAGGCAGAGAGAGAGAAAAAGCAGAAAGAAGCAGAGTTTCACATGTCTGAATAATCCCAGTGTCAAATTACACGCTGATACATTATCAGCCTCTAATGAGAGCAGAGCAATTTCAAAGAACTCTATTCAACTCCAAAGCTAAGTACCTTAAAATATATCTTGTCATTCATGTTGAATACAACTGTATAACTTTTATGTGAAAATCAAACTCTCTCAATTTGTTTTAAAAATTTTGGAATATTACTTTGTGCTTGATGATTTAATATGAACATTTTCTCTTCTTGACAATTCATTAAAACTATGAACTTTAAATATTTGATTTGTTTTCCTGAAACAAGCTACTGACAACTTCAAGTGCGTAAATTTGTAAATAAATTCCTCATCTTGTTTCGTTAAATATGACACGTGTGTTTCTTCATCATTATCCCTCAATACTTCACAGCTTTATCAGTAGGCCTAGCATGGATATAGAAACCATATGAAAGAAAGAGAAACAGTAGTGGAAGGAGCCAAGCTTGATAATAAGGCTTTCAGTAGCAGCATTAAGACAGAAAAGTGCCAAACTTAACTGTTGGTTTATGAATTTGGTGACATTGTAATTGTGGGCTGGACAGTACAGACACAGACTCAGAAGTAACTGAGCATTACTAAAAAAAAAAGATAATTAAGAACAATACATTATAGATTAAATAAAGAGTTTAATTCAAAATTCTATGTAGATTACCCTGACCAACAGACATCTGAAGGAAGCTGGAGGTCACAATGGCCAAAACATGAAAGTCACAACAAAGAGGAGGACATTAATCCAACTATAAATAATGTAAATAATAACAATTCCTCATCCCAGAAATTCAGAAAGGCGTTACTTTCATTTATTTCATATGTATTTTTTTATTTTTTCATCATATTAGTTTTCTTATGAATTGAGAATGATGTAAATAGCTATTGAAATATTAACACAAACAAATACAATGTTATTTGTTAATCAAATACTGATTAATATAAGTTTGCTCTCGGCATTATTTTTATTATCAATGATTTCGAATAATTTTATGGCTAAAATATACATACTCTCAATTTCAGGTTTATCCCCTTGGGGTGAGGCTTGTCAAACAGCAAGGGTGGGGTGATGAAAATCAATTGCTGTTGTTCATTGAAGAAAGCAAAAAAAAAAAAATGCCACTTGGTTTCTCATTGAAATCTAAATTTGGTTTGCAGTATATCCATGTTTGATCAGTCATCTTGTTAGCCAAGCTATTTCAAAATCATGATAATTTAATAACATTAAAAATTTTACTGCTTTTGTGTGCTATTTACTTTTTATTTATTTCATTAATATCTGCTCAGATAAAAATTATACAACAACAACAATGGAGGTAATGAAAGGACAAACCTGGAAAAGATGCACAGCATCTACTGTTCCATACTGTATATCAACAAAACTGAGGTGTTCTAACCTGTTGTTGTTGTTGTTCTGCTGCCATAAACTATAAGTGTATTCTGTCTCCATACAAGCACTCATCCAATCAAAGCTGCTATTGTCAACTGCAATAACAAGGCTTATCATTAACTCAGTGATTCTGATGATGAAAAGGAGTAAAATTGTGGCTACAAATGGAAATCTATAAAAAGAATTGGTTTTGTATGAATCAATTTTAATTATCAACAAAATCAACCACTATTGAAAGAAATGTTTTTATGCTGTAATATTTCAGTTTTAATTTCATTTAGAGTTGTTAAAGTTTTGAGAGGGCAAAGTAGTAAAACTGGGCAGCTATTAGATTTGTTTATTCAAATCAAATTTAGGTCAAAGTAAAATTATGGTTTGGAAAGATTTTCTTTGCTTAGTCATTAAAATTTATAAAATACCTATCTTTTCAATTTTATTGCCTGTGTATGATTTATGAAAATTATTTAACTGAATGCATCCTAATTTATTTTAAAGATTTTTGATGAAATAGGAATGTTAGCATAGATGAAATTTACCAATAGACAATTTCCAGTGCAGTCATTTAGCAGTTTAAAATGTCATTTCATCCATATTCATTGGCTCATCTTCATTGAAGTTTGTAGAGGAGAAAATATAACAGAACTTCCTAATAACAATCACTTGTATTAGAAGACATTTTCCACTAGGCCATTTTCCAGTTTCAAAGTCATTTTCACTTGTAAGCAAGCATGGACCTTATGTTGGGTATGAAGTTATCAGTTATGGATGAGTTCTTTATCTTACAACATCTTTTCTAACCATAATACTGGTATAATTGATTATGGGTGTATATTGGCTTTATGTAATGATTAAAGAAAAATAAATAAATTTTTGATTAATACAAAATAAATTTTTACATGTACAATATAGTAATACAGAAGAATAAGGTGAAATTTGAAGTTTCAATAGTTCAAAAGACCTGGTGATATCAAAGAGATAGAAAGAGTTCAGGTGGAAGTAAATATATATATATATGCATAAGTATGTATATATGTATCCAAATGTAGTCACTGCTGATGATCATGTGGGGAAAAAAAGGTATATTTGTTTTCAATGTAGTAAGGGCAGGTTAGCAGTCTAAGTTTGCCAGCTAGTCATGCAAATGTCGTATTTCATCTCTGAGTATGTTATTGAAGATAGACAAAATTAATTTATCAACACTAATTTTGGTTGATTTTCCATCTGTTTATATACACATCTATAGATCCACTTTGCAAAAGGTGCTTACTTCTTGTTGGCTTGTGGCCTTATATCCTAGATGTGAAAGCTTTCTTGAAATTTTATTCTCCTTGTTATTTGTTTATTTCTTTTCTTACATACTGGTTGTAAAAGCTTTCTGATGGGTTGATTGAACAATAGCTTAATTGGCGATTTTTATTATTCATCTATTTTAAAGGATGGTGAAATTTTGGTCTTGTTATTTTTTATTACTTATCTATCACCACACACTTTCCACCCTAGTTTTATAAAATTATTTATATTTTGTGTGTGTGTGTGTGTGTGTGTGTGTGTGTGTGTGTGTGTGTGTGTGAGAGAGAGATGTTTTATGCATAATTTTTAATAGTAAAAATATGTATTTTATTTTTTCATTTTTCTTCCAGATTTAGAAGGCTGTGGTATTTTTGTCTGTATCAAGTCTTTTGAAATTTGATGGAGAGTTATTTGGTTCTGGCTGAGATTGGACAAAATCTCTAGCAGTCTTAGTTTCTGAAATTAATGCTGGCTTTAGTCTGTCAATTGAGATGATAGTATTAACCTTGTTAGATTATGGTTTAATACCACAAATGGACCTGTGCTTCTAGGGGTTTCTGAACTCTGTCTGTTAGCAACCAAATATATTTACAAGTATTTAAATCTTTTGGGACATATGAATGGATTAAAGAATGCAAACATTTGTTGGATAGTCTGTTGGTCTCAAATTTCTGCATTTCTTGAGCTAAATTCTTTATTTATGAATTTGTTATTCCAATATCCTTGTCTTTGTTTATGTTGACTACTATTCAAGGAACTTGTGACTCCTGTTACAGCAGTAAATGGGGAGTAATTTGACTCGTTGGGTGTTACTCTGAATCTGAGAACTGATAATCATGATTTCTTCTAGCAATTTTTAGAGTTTGATGCACCCATTCAATAAATCCGTTTGTTCATAGATGGTATGATGTTGCCCACAATCTGTGGAAAACCTATTATCATCAACAGCTCTGAAAACAATTCTGATTCAAATTGACTAACCCTGCCTGTAACAACATGGAGGAGAAAATGTTGATGAAAGCTGTAGAAATTGATTGTACTAAAATCTCCATCAAGAGTTCTCCACTTCTATCCACCAAGCATTTATATGGATACACATTAGTAAATATCGATAAGGTGAAAAATAGGGGTCAATAAGATTTTTCACTAGTGTTAAGAGACCCACTATATCCAGGTGTACATTTAAAAGGTAAATCAAATGGATTAATTTCACTCTTTGCACATTTGGTTATTTTTGCTTTCTGGCAATATTAACATACCTTGCACCATGTCTTTATCGATTTGCTTATTTTTGGCCAGCAGTGCCTCAATCTTATCATTTCTATTGAAGCTGATATCTCAGGATGTGATAGATCAAATGGAGATTTTCTGAGCTCGTGTGTCACAAAAGGCTGTACAAAGGGTAATGACAAGTTGCATAGAATAGTTTGATGTTCATTTATAGGATATGGCTTCAGCTGATTATCAAAGAGTTTAAATTCTTCATAAGTAGGTTGGTGTTACATAATTTCCTGCAAATCATATGCAACTATAGTAACTGTATTAGCTGGTTGAGATAAGCAACCAGCAACTATATTTTGACTACCTTTTATATAGGAAATATCACAAACATATCCACTTATTCAAAATAAAGGTCTCTCGGATTTCAGTGAAGTTTGACTTTTGAAAGCATTTCGAAAGAGGTTTTTGATCAATTAATTCCCGTCTTTTACATAGCATTTAAATTGCAAAACTGCCAGATAGGCAGCTAGCAATTCCCTATCAAAGGTGGAATATTTTTGCTGCATCTATGATTATTTTCAAGGAGAAAAAAAACAGAATCTGTTGATTGTTGATCATTTGGTGTAATGCTGGCATAATATGTGATAATTGCACATTTACTTACCTGGCACTGGCGGATATTTACATGGATGATACCACATGGTAAGACGAGTCTTCCAATATGTTGATGATGACAAAAGAATTAGAAACTTTTGGCATACTTTTGACACTGTCTCAATAAGGAAGGGTGCCTCAATATATGAAAATATCAGCAGTAAAAGTTCTGAGGGTAAAGTATCCAGAGTTGTTCTGTTGTCTGTGGCATAACTGTCTACCTCCATATCCAGAGTTAAGTATGAGATCCCCCTGGATACTGGCTCCTCCTTAGAACTAGACTCTGGACAATCAGCACCCCCAGAATCAGTGGTCATTTGAGTGGACATGGCATATGAATTGGTCAGCAAAAGCACCTTCAAGAAAAGAATAACAAATTTAAGACTTCATTTTGTTTTTATTTCATTATGCAGTATATAAATATTATTGGAAACTGAGGTTATGGGCATAAAAAAGAATCAGTAAAGCAGTTTTGAAAATCAAAATATTCTGGATCTGAATGAATCTTTAGCTAATGCACTGGTCCTATTTAGCGAATACGTCTTTTTTTTTCTTTTTTTTTAATGAATTTTGTTTATAAATCCCACATTATTTTTTGATGTTTTTATTCATAGTTGCATAAAGGTATATATCCCACTTTTGTTTTTTAAGTTGACATTTATCAAGACATATTTGACAACTAAGGTTAGAGAATCCTATCTGATCTGCTATTTTACCCATAGCTGATGAGGAAGAATTGTTCGATTCATTCCTTTTACTTAATGCATAAGTACAAAATAAACACAAATGGTCCCAATTGAAATTTGAACTTAGCTCATACTTCCATTTCCTGTTCTGCTAATCATTAGTTTTATTGAATTTTATTTTTAATTGGAATTTCCCTTTCAGTTGAAGTTAATAAAATTCAATAAAACTTCAATAATTTGTGATAATTACTTCACATATTTTTTTTTAGTTTCTGGTCTTTATCTTAGAGACTAGGCTCAAATTTTTTATAAAAACAATCGGTAGGGAATATCTAAAAAAAAAAACATATGAAATAACAAAAATACTTAATCTCAAACATTCAAAAATAAATTTATAAAAACATTTTCTAAATCCTTCAAACAATTGAAGTTAAATTCTATTTAATATTACTAAATGTGTAATTTTCTTCAATATTTTATTTTTCATAAGTCACAGGAAATGGATTTTGCAAATTAACAGGTTAAAAAAATTCTCCAGGGGTGACTTCAAAGTTTCATGTGTGGCATGGATGATGGTGTGGAAGCAAGACACATGAAAGTGATAATAACTTTTTCATTATTCAATAAAAGAAAATTAAATTTTTTGGCATTGTTAGAATCCTTTAACAGCATAAAACATTATTTTAGGAATTTCCATTGTAACAGCATTGGCTGTACCTGAAGTGGTAAACGAAAACAACTTTTTACTTTGTAATAAAAATTACAAATTTTCTCTATTTTTTAAAGTTTAATTAGGAAGTACTTGTAATTTTTAGATGCTCAATGGGAAAAGTTTTTAGTTGAATAAGTATTTTCAATTTTACAATAATTAAAAAAGTTTAATTATTTTTTATGTATTGATAAACTTAATAAACTTTCAAAGTTTAAAAAAAAATGTTTTAAAAATTAAAAAGCTATTTTGAATGTGTTTGTTTCTAGAAAAAAAAAAAAGAGTTTTGTTTCTTCTAAAGCATTATATTAAACCATCTAATTTGTTAAACAATGTTTATTTTTAGAATGTTTTTTGTTTGCTTATGACAATTAAAATGACACATATTTGTGTGTTTTTTGTTCCAATTCCAAAAACTAATTATTTTTTTGTTCCAATTCCAAAAATGTTAAAAAAAGAAAAAGAAAAGCTATTTCGAATGTGTTTGTTTTTAGAAAAAAAAAATTTTTTTTTCTCAAAACATATTAACCATCCAATTTGATTATGATTATTTTTACAATATTTTTTGTTTGTTTATGGCAATTAAAATTACACATATTTGTGTGTTTTTTTGTTCCAATTCTAAAAACTAATTCTTCTGCACTGGGTGTATGGTCTGGTGTAACAGATAGTGATTCGGAATGAGAGATCACAGAGCTTAGTTCAAATTCCAGTTGGGTTCACAACATTCACTTACGTGCAAATACACTTGGGGAAGTAGGAATCCATCTAGCCCCCACCCCCAAGCTATGGATTGAATAGCAGGACAGACTGGGTCCTATAGCCTTGGTTATCAACCAGTCTACCACAAAAAGAAACGGCAGCCTCCTGTGGGAAATCTTCTGTCTAGTCAGTCATGAATCAAAAGAGAAATAATCAGCCAGGTGTGGTATATAGTCACATATGGCACTTTTAACTGACTGACAGAATTCTTTTAAATATTTACCATTTTCAAGCTAGTGGAAAGAGAATGGTGGTCGGGGGTGGTGGGAGCGAACCAAGGGGAGCCGAGATTAAGAATTTCAGGTACATTAAAAAAAAAAAAAAAAAAAAAAAGCTTACAATTACATCATTTATCAAGCACGGCCCTAACCATTTTATTTTATTATTTAGTGTAAAAATTACACTAATAATTTCACTGTAATTTTTTTATTCTTAGTTACTGTTGTAATTATTTTTAACAAAATAAAGTACTAATAAATTCTAACAATAATAAAACCTTTTTGTCTCATTTTTAGAAGCAAGTCTGAACTTGTCATTCATCTTTTTCCGTTTTAAACGTCCCCACCCCATACATATTTTCTAAATAAGAAAATTTATTTTTATGTTCTCGACACATTTTTTTAGCTTTTTTCTTAAAAATATTTTGGAATTTCATTTTTTTTTAGCTTACAATTTGAATAACTTCGACATTTGTCATCCAGTATTTCTTCTTAATTTATGATTTTTTGTTCATTGTAATTAAAATTATATTTTTTCTAATATTACGGAAAAAAATGATTATTAAACTTTTCAAAATTCAAAAAACCAAATAAATAAAATAAATTAATGAAAAAAAAACCCTTATTTTATTTTTTAATAATTTGAAAATTAGTAAAGAAAGAAAGAAAATAATGACATAAGTCTTTAAAAAAATCAAATCTGGTATAAAATAATCAGAATTAGTTGTAATTTTAATTCTGTCTTACATTCTTCCAATTTAGGAGAAAATATAAAAGAAAAAATGCGTCAATTTAAAAAAAATATACGACATCGAAGCGGACGGAAAATTTCTGAAATCGCAAAATTCAAGATTTAAAAATCCATTTTTTTTTTTTTTTCACTAACGGTGGATAAAAACAGAAGAATAAAACAACAAAATCACGATCAACAGTTTTCAATTCAAAATTTATCTTTAATTCTACAGTTCGTTGTTATTTTTACACGGGATATTCAAAAAAAAAAAACATGAAAAAATTATTGAAGGAGTCGATAAGAAGACTGTCTGCTAGTTGTAGATAAATTCCATCACAAACACTAAAAACAAAAAAAAAATATGTACCATAAAATATAAAAAAAAAGCACAAATACTGCCTGAAGAAATGACCACATATGTTTAAAATGTAAAACTGATAATAAAACCTACCTTGGGATCTTTAGACCCAATTTAGTCAGTTAAAGACATTTTTTAGAAGAAGCATCATCGATGATGATGCCGAATGTTTGTGTATGTGTGTGCGCCGAATGAGTCAGGCCGTTACTGGGGCCAATGCAGAGTCAGGCAACAAAAGGCCGTACTTTCGAAGAATATTGTGAGTTGGGCGACGGTTTATTTTTTACAATTTAAATAAAAGAAATTATAAAGTGTAAAAAAAATAAAAACGAGCATATTTTTAAGCCTTATAATTTATTTTATTTTCAGTATCTTTTAAACTGGAATAAAATTTAATTTTATGATGTAGGTCTCTGATCATTTTTTTAAAAAAAGTGATGGGACTGATTATCGTTGACCACCGCTAAAGATATTAAAAATTACTCAATAAATAACTAAATAATCAAATCAGTTAATTTCTAAACTAAATTATTTAAAAAGAAAATAGTTTTAAAAAGAAACATAAAAATATTGCAAAATAAAAAACACTGATATATATATTTTCGCTTAGCTACAATAAATGTTTTAACAATAGAAGAGAAAAATGTAATTTAAAATTTATATTTCATTTTAAAAGAGAACGAAAAATATTAAGAATAAAAATGATAAAATTTAAACATGCAAAATACAGATAAAGGGAGAGCACTCTAATATTATCTTCATCTTTCATCGTCACCCCAACATTTTTTTTCGTTTACTGGTGACGCAAAGATAATGTAATTTAGGGCATTGCAGATCAAAGGTTATGGGAAGGGCATTCGGTTTTGCTTTGATTTGAAATCAGTGTGTAACCCTCTATCGAAAAATAGAATCTTAAATGCGTTTTGCATTGCTTTTTGTCCTGCTTCATAACCATAGAGCTACATCCACAAATTTCAAAGAAGCAAATTATTACACAAGCTCTTGGCATATCTAAAATTGTTTCAGTGTTTTGAGGAGTAGAAACTGATTGTGGGGTCTGAATTTTCATCCTAAGTGCTAGGTTAGTAATGCTTATTATTATCTGATTCCCATTTGTCATAAACTTGCCAGGTTTAGTTTTAGTGAATTTGTCTGAATTGAATACCAGCCTTTGCAAACCTGACTAGCATCAAATCACTGTACATCAAGGCACCAGTCTAACAGATTAGGCTTGTAATCTGTATCTCACAATGAGAAACGTTTTATATCAATAGTTTTATGCGGTAGATGACATCATGGTCAACAAAAAAAATGATACAAAAACTCAAAACTAATCCCTACTGCTACAAGATTAAACTAGAGCAGTTAATCAATTACATTAACTTCACAGAAACTTGGAATCAACAACTTACTACTCAAAGAGAACAGTTCCACAATGCAACTTTGGCAGTAATCATGAATACTGAGTTCCAGTGTCCCCACTGATAAAGATGCTACACTTCCAGGCTTGGGTTACAGCGCCACTTCTGATTCCACTGATTAATAGAAAAACAAAGTATTTTTTGGCTACAAAGTACAACTATACATACCAGAAAAATTGTGTTCAGCATAAGAATTGAAAGTTAATGTTTCCATAACTAAAGGGTAAAGGACTGAAAATATGTCTTTAAACAGCTGGATAATGCAGAGCTTCTGTTTGGAAAATGAAATAAGTCAAAAGATATTTTAGCTAATGAACTTGCTTCCCACTAAATCCTTAAGACCTCTTAATCCTCTTCAAGCATTTAAAAAACAGAAAATTTTTTCCCAGACAAGAAAAGCTCATGTCATTTTTTTTTTTTTTGTTGCTTCTTTAATTATTCATATGTGAATTAGAATCTATGCATCCAACAATGGACAAATTTATTTATTTCAGTAGTATAGAATTCTGGAGTTCTGAAACTGATGAATTCTAAGATGTTTTAAGCTAATGCTCAGAGAGCTATCTCCTATAGGAAATTGTCAAGATTTTTTAAAAAGAAGTAGCTCCAATGAGTAAACTATGTGAGGTAGATTTTTTTAGTTCTAGTCATTCAGTTTCTGCAATACAGTAGGCAGCCAGCTGCTGTTACAGAAAATTGATTCTTTTTGGCAATGTTGGGTAGAAAAATTGCAATTCTTGATGCAGTTTGTTGATTTCCTGGCAATATGTTTCTGTCATAATGGTTTTGTCAAAATTCAAGAGGATTCCATTTGCCAAGCACCAAATATTAACCGTAATCTTCTCTTTGGCTTAGGAAAGAGCATAATATCATGAGTTGACATATACAATATATTTTCTATCACATTTCACAGTGTGAAATGGCTCTTTTTATGTTGCATAAAAGAAATATAATTTAATGTAATGCTACGTTAATTAGAAAAGAACACAATGCTTTATGCAGAAAATACTTTGAGAGAGTTCTGATGAATAGTTTACCATCTATAAATGCATGTCAAACACATTATATCACCAATTTTATAAAATCCATACTTAAAGAATCTAGAATATATCTACCTATTACTACAACCAGTGCAATGTCAATTCTTTGACCTTCACACTAAACATTCGCAAATCAACATGTGCAAAACCAACAAACATAAATAAAAATGCCTACTAGACACACACACAAATATACATTATCATCTGAATCCTGCATAAACAAACTAGAATTATAATACACTACATACATGAATTTTACACATAAATGCTGCTTGACAAAACAGATGCATGTGAGGTCTGCTTAACCAATGAAAAACAACCAACACAAAAATTAAAATGCCAGAATTTTCTCGTGTTTTCTTTTCCTTCACTATATTTCATTCTCTGATGAAGCTTTAATAAAAGCGAAACATTAGATTTATAAAATTTCCTATTTGTCCTTTGTCCTATCATTCAGTTGGATTCTGATCCCTATTTGATTTGTATTTGAACCCAATTCATCAATGTAAAGATGAAGTTTTGATTTAATTCAGGTTGTGTGGCTAACATTTGGGTCTACTTCAGCAATGGTTGTTGGTTGTTGTCCATCTGAGAAGGATGTCTGTAGCCCTCATGTTTAAGGCTTTTGTCTTCATTATGACATTTTTGGAAGTACTGTTGAGATTTACATTCATTAACAATACTCAAGATTTATTGCTTGAAAATACAGCAATTGTGGCACAAGGCCAAAAAGGGGGAATGGGTTGAAGCTGGTTGTCACTATCTTATACCTAGCTAATCCAATTCATGACCTATTCATTCGTTACAATTTAGACATCCACCATAAAAACTGTCATCATTCAATCCTCCATATGCCACAATGCCAAATACACACAGAGGAAGCTATAAAAGCACCCCATGATCATTGACAATATTCTGGTCAAATGCTTGTTAATGTTATGAGAAGAGTTATGTTCCCTTGTTGTGGAAAGCTTGATGTTTAAATGTCTGACTCTGAAATTCTTTCCACAGACATATTTGCGTAAGAGATGGTAAAAAATATATTATTTCTCTCACTCTGAGTGCCATCCTGAGTATGACGATAAACATCATCTGTGTCCTTGGTAAGATGATAAACTACATCCAACACTAAGACCTCTGATCAGAAGGTTTTGAGGAGTGTGGAACCACCTCTTAAATGCTAGTGATCCCAAGTCAACCCTGACCCAGGGGTGGTAGCACCTATTAGGGTCCCAGCTATGGGTAAATAGTTAATCCCCCAAAAAGGGGTCAAAACACTATGTAAGTATAAAAATAGGTTTTAATACCAACAATACTTTTTTCAAATTTTTTACCAACAATACATTTTTGAAAAAAAATATTACCAACAATACATTTTTAAAAAAAAATATTACCACCAATAAAAATCTTGTCAGCATTAAATAACCCATTGAGGTTGATATACCATAAAACAAAATAAACAAATCAAACCACTCTGAGTGATAGTTTGGTCACTATTTTACGTAACTGTCTTTCTTATGTAGTAGTTAACACAAGCAGCGAGCATCTACTGGAGAATGTGAAAGAAAAAGAAGCAAGTGTGAATAAAATAGCATTTAATGACCAGGAACTGAATATATGACATTGAATATTTGGTTTGTAATGAAAGAATTTATGAAGATTAATAAACATGTTATATTCCATGCTAATAGGAATATATACTTGAAAAACATGGTGGATAAATAAGTAAAGGTTTATTGTAAAAACCAATACAATAAAAATAAAGGTACAGTTATGCACAAGGTCATTTCAAGTCAATCCAGGTGTGAGTGCTACTATTGGAAGGTTGGTAGTTCTCGCATAAGTCTGAGTTGTACTCAACAGCTCCCAGCTAGCCTCTGTAGACTTACAGATACTTATAGGTTGTTACTACCTAGAGTGTAGTCACTCATGGAGGTGACAGGTTATTCCATTACATCAACATGTTAGAAAGCGATGATGAAAATTTGTGTTAAATTGATTTTGAAATATTTTCTTTTCTTGCAGATGTGTTGTTAGCTTAATGAAGAAGTTGATTTATAGTTTGTTGTGGCATAACTAAGTTTGGCAGTCAGCATGGGTTTACACTGAGTCTTACTAATTTTCATCTTTATATGGTGGCAAAACAGTTTCAGAGTTTGTCTTGAAAGATTAGCTTGGTAAAGAGCCTTAAAAGCAGTGCATTCAGTAAACATCAATTACTAAACAAGAGAATGGCCAAGTGAGAATAGTTTATTAATTATTGCTGCATGGCATAGCCATGCCATCAAAGCTTTCAATACAAAGGCTACTTTGTATAATTTCTAAATAAAATCAATGAATGAATGAAATTCAAATGATATGGTATTATTAGTCATTTCCTTATAAGGAAACACTTGGATTTATTGATCAAGCAGCCAAAACTGGCTTATGTTTTTCTTCACTTCTTAGCCATCAGGCTGGGATCAAAGTGTAGTATATGTTCTCCTCATTTCTAATGTTAATGGTAATATTGTTTCCAGCAATTATTGATTGAGCAACCAGTGCCGCTTTCAGTTGAAATTTATAAAATCATTCTATTCAAATAATTTTTCAGGAAAATAGGTTACTCAGATCCACTAACTTATTGCTGTTATTGTTACCCTAAACCAGTTATTTTACAGTTGAAGTATGTGTTAACTGTAATTCTTAAACAATTGCAATTCAAGGAATAATATTTACTACAGACAAGTAAATTAAAGAGAAAATGAAAACGGTATTTAATTTTACTTGTTTAGAAAGCAATATCTTTTCTGCAGCAAGTGATGTGAACGTACCCAGTGGCAAAACTTGGTCTGCAATGAACAAGCTCTCAGTAATCTGGAAATTTGCTTTACCAGATAAAATGAAATGACTGTATGAAACTGACCCAAGAAACCTCGTTCCAACTGACAAAGTCTCTCTGTACAAGCAGCACCACATTCACAAGTGAAATGACTATTCTCTCTTGTGTGATGTTTTTTATGATGAGTTAATCTTGCAAAAAATTTGCATATGCCCAACCACTCTTGCCAATTCTCCTAGCTCTGAGACCATGTCTTTCTTAAATTAAGGTGTCAGCCATATTTCTTTTTCTTTTCCTTCACTCATTTTGCATGTCATGCATATACATGCTCGCTTTGCCACATGAGGTAAGTCATCGTCTCTTCCTCAAAGACTTCTTCCAAGCTGTATCTGTTTTGCTCTATGATAGCATCTGATGGGCACTGAGAAAATGATTAAAAAAGACGGTACTTGGCATGTATAGAAGAATGCTACATTGAATCTATTGTGAAAACATCAACTTTACAAAAATAGCTCTATGACCATCTACCCTCCCCCATCTCACAAGTTACTTCTGAGAGAAGAACAAGATATGTGTGACATTTCTGGAGAAGTAAGAATGAGTTTATCAGTAACGTTCTGTTGTGGATACTAAAACATGAATACATTAGTATTGGTCACTGGTTCAAAACAAACATTCAGCAAATATGTAAAGTCACAAGATACCAAAATAGATAGTTGCGAAGACAAGAGTAAAAGAATTATGACAATCCATGCAGTTGGTATGCCCTGATAATGAGGATTTAATTCATTCTATTAATTCTGATTTTGTTTGTTGATTTTTTTTCATTAAATTACAGATATGACTTCCATTACCAAACCCAGCCCCAGCTATAGGTAAATAGTAGGACAAACTAGTTTCTCTAGCCATGGTTGTCAGCTAGTATAAGAGAAGGAAAACTAATGGTCATAGAGCTGCTTTTTGTAAAGTTGATGTTTTCAGGATAGATTCAATGTAGCATTCTTCCATACATACTATGTAGTGTCTTTTTCAATCATTTTCTCAGAGCCTATCAGATGCTATCATAGAGCAAGACAGATGCAGCTACAGCTTGGAAGAAGTCTTATTTCATTTTGTCTGGTAAAGTAAATTTTCAGATTGAGAGCTTGTTCAAAACTGACCTGGAGAGGGTTGGGCTCTGTCAGGCTCTGTTGCTCAAGACACACCACTTCTACTGTGGCTGCAATAAATGTGCTGCCCCTACGACCTAATGGGTTACAGGTTTCACGATTGTGACCAAACCTGTTTAATCACCGTTTTTATTCACTGGATCATTGTAATGTAGATTGAATAAAGAGATTAGTCTAAAGTTTCCAGGTTACTAAATCTAACAATCTAACAGACAACTACAGAGGGCCAGAGAGTAATTGAATATTCATATTCCAGTCAGGGGCTTTTTTTTGGTGCTTAAGGGGTAATTTGTGTTTAGTAAGAAGCAAAAACACCATATTTTATGTAGCATTTTATGCAGTATACATAATAAATTTATTTGCCTGCAAATATCAAAAGAAATTTCCAGTAATTACTTATTTTAAATTCTATAATCTCTGATGCAAAACAAAGAAAAAAGACTTTAGCAAGTGAAAAATAGATCTTTGATTCTTCTGAAATTCAGTTCCTCACAACTGTAGTACAGGCTTAAATAGTTTTTCATTGGTTGATAGGGCTCAGTAGTAATTTTCATTGATTGATAGGGCTCAGCAGTAATTTACTATGCTGTAAGCCATGAGGATTAACATACAATATTATTTACAAAAATAATCTCACTTATTACTTTACAAGCAATATTCCCAAATGAGTTTTACATTATTAAATAGTATTTAAAATTGAGACAAACACTATATCTAAATTCTTAAAATTTTTCTGGTGTGACTCTCTTTAAGTTGGTGGCTTTTTACAGAAATAACCTCTTTTTTAATGAAATGTCCTTTTGAGATATAGGCAATTGTGGCTTTTTACAGATTCCTTTTATTTATTATTCCTGAATTGTCACGACTGAATTTAAACAATGCTTGCCAATCCTATTTCTTCTACTGATAACCTTTATGTTACCTAAACATCTATATCTACTTCCAACAGATAAATATAACTATACCCGATCATAATTCTGCTTGTGTCTCATTAGTAAATTAGTTAGCATGTGCATTACAACTTACCATTATCTCAAATAAAAAATGAACCATTCTGTTTTGACTGCAATGAAAGACAGAAGAAACATTATATCAAAGACACTGTTTGGTTTTAAGAAAGAAACAAAGAAAAGGCAATAATGCTTTCATGCATTTAATGTCTGTTTCAATGAAACAGAAAAACAATTTCAAATCCTTTCATTTGTACTCTCTTACTTCTTTAAATAATGACCCACATTCATACTTATTATTATTATTATTGAAATATTTTGTCAATCTCAAATCTTTTCATTTGTACCCTCTTACTTCTTTAAATAATGACCTGCATTCATATTTATAATTGTTATTGCAATATTTTGTTAAAGTTGTTAAGCTCAAATATCTAATGATGCAACAGAGTAATTTCTATAGGTATTTTGTAGTCATGAAACTCATCAGGAGCTTCTTCTATCATTGACTTGATGAGAAGGATTCATTAAAAATTAAAATAGAAAAACCATGACATTATTATGCGTACTACTAATTTAGGTACATGTGATCTTCAGAAAATATTTGCTAATTTTTGTTTGCAACAAAGATCTTAAAATTGTTAACTGATGCTTTGAGAAGAACTATCATCCTTATTCCAAAAATTATTTCAGACTAGTATCCACATCCTTGTTATTTTTATTATTAAATTTCAGCTAGTGTTTTCTTTAGTCTTCCTTGTGTTGACTGAAATACTGACATGAAGTATTGTCATTAGAACAAACCTTGGCAGCTTTTAAGAGAGGATATCCAAATAATAATTTGGTTGCTATTGAAAAGAAAGACATTCTGTGTTGGAAATTATAAAATCTTTATGCATTGCCATTTGACTCACTTAAATTATTTTTCAATGAAATTATAAATATTCTGTCATTAATTTATTATCCTTGCTACAATATACATTTAAGAAATGTCACATTGATTGGAGTCAGTTAAGTACCATATGTGATACATGATTAGGCTCTTTCGATTCTTGACTGACTAGGCAGAAGATTTTCTTGCAGTTGGTTGCCATTTCAGCGGTACACTGATTGCCAGCCAAGGCTATAGAACCCAGTTTGTCCTGCTTTTTAACCTATATCTGGGTGGAGAAGAGATGGAATTCTACCTTTCCCAAGGGTATCTGCGCATAAGTAAATGCAACAAACTCAACCGGAATTTGAACCCGGCTCTTCAATTTCTCATTACACCACAAGTTAATTGTAAATCTCCGTCAATGGACATGCTTCTATCCACCAAGTATTACTATTGATACATGTTAGTAAATATGAATAAGGTGAAAAATAGGGGTCAATAAGATTTCTCACTAGTGTTAAGGGACCCACTATATCCAGGTGTACTGCTTGGAAATGTTTAGAAGGTAAATCAAGTGGATGAATTTCACTCCTTGCATATTTGGTTAATTTTCCTTTCTGGCAGTAACATTCCTTGCACCATGTCTTTACCGATTTGCTTATTTTCGGCCAGTAGTGCCTCGGTCTTATCATTTTTATTGAAGCTGATATCTCAGGGCGTGATTATACAAACTGCCAAATGCTCTTGCATCGTTTATTTAGGCTTCTTTTAGTTTTTCATTCTCTTTTGAAGTATGGCTGGTCATAATTTTATAACTATGTCAGGATGAAGCGACACCAATATGTGGTAAAACTTTTGCTGCACTGCTGAATTGGTGTTCCATGATGGAACACATGCTTGCACATTGGATTTAATGGAAGCAGGTGGGTTGATAGATACAGTCTATATTGAGCCGAGGGCACTTGTTCAGTTTTACTCTCGGACGTGGTGTAATTTGTTTTATCTATCAGGCATGTTAGAGTTTACTACATGGGAGGATAGAAAGTTATCAGCTATGGAGGAATTATCTTACAACCATGTCAGTTCCCACCAGATAACGGTATATGTGGTTGGGATGTATATTGGCTTTGTGTCAATATATACAAAATAAATATTTATATATCACAATATAATAATACAGAAGGATGAATTGAAAGTTGAAGTTTCACGTGTAAAAGTCCCGGCACATAAGAGAAAAAGAGTCTGGGAGGAAATAAACAAATATATGAATATGTATATATTTAAATGTAGTAACCGTCGCTTGACTACATAATAAAGGAAGCTATGTTTGTTTTCCATGTAGAAAGGAATGGATTAGCTGTGTAAGGTTGCCAGCTAATCATACAAATGTCGTATTCATTTCTTACATCCTGGTTGTTAAAGCTTTCTGATTTGTTGTCGAACTATGGCTTTGTTTGTCAGACGGTTTTTATTATCTGTCTACTTTTAGAAATTGTGACATTTTAGTCTTCTTGTTATTTATTTTTATTTATTTCTCTATCACCACACAGTTTTCAAAACATGCCGACTGAATAGGAAGTATTTTCATTAGCCAACTCTAGCATTGAAGAAACTCAACAATTTATTTCGAGACAAATCTTGTAAAAACTGGCGAACTCACCAACGCTTATTAGTTAACCGAGAGAAGAACATTTATGAACCGGAAGTCCGAAATAAAGAACTTAAAATCGAGATTCTCACGGGAGTGCTGGGAGAGTTCACAAGTCTGTATTATATAGATTTATTTTTTATCATTTTACCCCAAGCAAGGTAATAGAGCCACGAAGATGCAAGGGGTTACTGAGTGTGAAAGAATATGAAATAAAGAAAACATTATTAAGGAGAAAAAACAATAAAGAACAGGAACAGGACCAAACTTTCACTTGCTGAGGCCTGAAGCGATATGAAATTCGAAACTCTTCTCCAAAAAATATCCAGGTAAAAAATTTTAGAATAATTATACAGGATTATTATTTATTAATGATTATATATAATGTTTGATGATTTAGTGTAAAAGAATAACTGCTAATAATAAAATAAAAAAAAATGTTTTTAAAAATGAGGTCGCGAGGGTGTGACCTAACTGCCATCTAGTAATGTGCTTAAATTCATAAAGTTGAGTTACCAAAAGAAAAGGCACAGGGAAGAAATTAACATAAGCCAGGTTTGAGCCAATAACATTGTAGCATTCATCTTTGGATTTTATCTAGAACTAGCAGTAGAGCCCGGCGTTGCCCGGGGATGTAACAGTAAGAGATAGATCAAGTATCGACCATCATAAAGACTGAAAAATAAAATTGACAAAGATTATCGTTTAAGGTTGACGGACACGCATGTCTTAATTAGTTTTTTTTTTTTTTAATTGGTCAAACCCAAATTCAAACAAAACATTGTTTACAATCGTTATGAGTCTATCGATTGGTGAATAGAATTTTATTATAAACAATTGTCTTGTAAATGGAATTTTAAAGCATTCTGAATGTAAATAAAGAAAAAAAAGTGCAAGACAATAAGAAATACTACCTGCCGAAAAAAAAGTGGATGTTTATCGGCTGAAAAATGTAAGAAATCCGATCCCATATATAAAGGAACACACACACACACACACACACACAAACCTGGGTTTTTTAACCTAAGTCACTCCACGGAATCGCTAAAACATAGAGCATAGTCTGATGAAAAAAGACGCCAAAGTTTATGAAAACAAAATTTTATCATCAAAATGCTTATGTTTTTATGAAGAGGATAGACTAAATTTTTTTTTAATTATTTTTAAAAATTTTTTCCATCTTTTAGAATATTCTAAATTTTGATTTAAAAAACCTTGTTTCTCTTTTTTGCAACAAGGGGTAGTAAATAACATAGATAATTTTAGCGCGTTTTTTTGTATTTACACACATTAATTTGGAAAATCTTGCAAAAATAAAAATAATTGTCAGATGTTAATGAAACTTTCATAAACTATTCACAGATGATCGAAATTATTATAAATATGTTTTTTTTTTATTAAAGTCATGGCAGAAATATTTTTTTTTATATTTATTAACACCCCATAACTAATTTTATGAAAAACTCTAGAAATTCGAGACCATCGGTTTTAGTGATTACAATAGTTAAAAGCACAAGGCTTTGAAGAATGCAAATCATGTTTTTTTTTTTTGCCAACATACCTGAAAATCAACTGTGAATTGTAACATACAAAAACTCAATAAAACAAATATATTATTTAGTTTCAAATGCTTTTGTTTTAATTTGTTTTTTATGAATATGGACAATATTTTCTGAAAGCAAAAATTTTTTCAATGAAAATTGAATTTTTAATACAATTATTTCTTATTTCTTTAATTTTAAAAAGATTTTTAAAAAATGTTTAAATTGAATTTAAAAAATATTTTAACATTAGTTAAAACTTAAAAGCAACATCAATCTTTCAAAATGTCCGTGTGAGATTGTCATTGTCTAGCGCTTTGAAAATTGTATAATTTGGACCAATCAGATTAGCCATGGTAATTAAGAAATGTAATTTTTGTTTTATAGTCGGACATTAATTATCAAGTACGGAAGACCAACCAGAATACAATTTAGTTGCATTATTTGAGTTCAGCATTGTTCTCCGCTGTTAAGCCCTTTACTTTTTTGAAACACGTATGGAGAAGTTAATTTGAGTTTTCAATTTCAACTGAGAAGGGTACCTACAAGTAACAGTATCATCTTATGAAATTTAACTACTGCTAAACTTTAATTTATATGATCTTATTTTTATATTAATCTCAGTTATGACATTTTTCCATAAATGAAATATCAAAATTAATAATAAAATGAATGGAAATACAAATAACACAGTAAAATGTAATAAATGTACATAAAATTATAGTATTTTATGTACACTTCTGATAAAATTTCATAAGAAAGGTACCTAAATTAATTAGATACCTTTTTCTTATGAAATTTAATCTCACTATTAACAGTCTTATTTTTTAATTTCTTTATATTTTCCATAAACCATCATAAACGTAAAATGAAAGCTAAGTACAAAAATAAAAAAAAAAAAATTAGAGCTTGAAAGTTTTCCTTAAAAGTAACAAGGTAAATAATTTGTTCACTTAAATAATTTCACTTCCTTCCATCCGTAGAAAGAATTCTCATCCCGTAAGTTATCTAAACGTCATGAATGTGCCTTTAAGTCAATCGTCAAGCGGACAAAAGGTTATGACCTGCTTTTGTTTTATTTTCAAATTACATTTTTTTTGGCAGAAGCTAAGTTAAGCTTGGTTCAAAATATTTTAAATAAACAGTATAATTTCTGTTTTTATTAAAATCAGTTTTGAAAAAATGATAATTGATTTTTAAAAGAATATCAAAGTAAGATTTTAATCTTTTTTATCAACAAATCGAAAAAATGATTGAAAATGATTCTGTCCTTTTTTTTGACCAAAAAAAAAACTATTTTTAACAAAAATTTCAGACGTGCTAGGAACAATTAAAAAATGTAAAAAAATACCACCAAAATACTTTGATCTTTCCTCTTTAATAATAATATGAACATTAGACGATAAAATTTTGTTTTCGTCAAGTTCGGCATCTTTTTCATCATGCTATGCTCTTTTGTTTACATTTTCGTGGGTGAGTTCTCCCCCTTTCATTCTCACGATGTGTCTTAATCGTGTTTTCAAAATGATTTTATTAAAAAACAACTGTGTTTTTCCCATTTTCGATCCCATTAGAACCACCACAAGGTAATTTTATATAGTCCTGTTAAGTTTTGTTGAAATCGGCTAAAAAATGTAGGAAATTCGATCCAACATATAAACATTACAGACACACACACACACACAACCTGCGTTTTATAATAAGTAAGATATACATCAGAAACACAAGACCAGATATAGCAGAAATATTCAATGCATGGATGAATGTTAGACTTATAAATGTGTTAGATTCTAGAAAGAAAAAA